AAGAATCAGGGTCTGGTCCTGGCTAGCTGATGATGATTCACAAAGGGAGAGAGCAGGCGCCGTTGTTTAGCTAGCACTGCATTCCTGGGGAGACCTGAGAATCCGAGGCTTTCCCCGTCTGCCCTTTGGCCTGCGTTGCCCTCCCTCCCGAGAGGAGGGTTGTGCCTTGGGCGGAGGGGGCGGGGGGAGTCCGCTTGAGGCCAGGGCTTTCTGCGTGCGCGGGCTCTGGGCCTGGTTGGTGGGGGCCGGGCTCGGCGCTCGATTGCGCTCCCTGCTCGCGCTCCGCCGGGGCCTCGGCGCTCCGCCCTCCCGCCTGGCTGCGGCCCCGCATGTGCTGCGCCCAAGATGGCGGCCCCCACCCCCTCGCAGCCCCGAGCCACAAAAGCCCCCGCGGGCGCGGCGGTGGCGCCCCGGCCCCGCGAGGAGGAGGAAGGCGGCGGAGAGGCGGAGGCTGGCGCGGGGCCGCCTCCCGAGACCGGTAAGCCCTTCACGCGCCGGATCGGACGGACGGACGGCCGGCCGGCTGACTCAGTGGCCGATTGATTAGCGGGGGCCCAAGGCCAAGCTCCCGCCTCTCTCTTTCCCTCCCTCCCTCCCTCCCTCCCGAGGGGAGGCCGCGGCGCCCCTTCGCCCCCAAAAGCAGGGAGGGAGGGAAGGCAAAGAAGGAAGGCAGGGGCGCCCCCTCTCTGCCAACCCTTCCGCCTGCCTGCCTGAGCCGGGCCCTCCCGGGAAACCTTCCTTGTCAGGGCCTAGCGGGGCCTTTTCATCCTTTTGAGCCCTTTCCTGTCGCTCCCCCCTGCCCGCCGTCCCTCAGGGCCCCTCCCTTCCCTTCCGCCGCCTTCGCTTTGGTTTGCAGCACCGGAGCCCTGGCCAGCGCCTCCCGTTTAGGCCGAGTCTCTGGTAGCGGCGGCGGCGGCGTCTCATGGAAGAGCGAGGGGCTTGCTACTGCAAGGAAATAGCATCACTCTCCCCTCGGAGAAGGATGTGAGGCCTCCTCGTAGGTCCCTGCTTTTGTTTATTGTTCTTTCTCAAAACATTGGGAGAACTTCCTGAGGATAAGGGCTATTGCGGTGGAGGCACCTCTGTAGGTTCTTAATTAGAGGTTGGGTGGCCATCTGTCAGGAGGGTTTTGATTGGGTGTGCCAGCCTGGCAGGAAGGCTGGGCTGGATGGTCTCTTCTTCCACTTCAATGACTTCCAACTTACAGTGGCCCGAACGAGTGTTAGGAAAAACAACAATAATAATAATAACAACAACAAAACAACAACAACAATAATATAATAGCAACAGAAATATATGAGAAAGCAGGACAAACTCAACCATTATCAAGACTTCAAAACTGAACTGCAAAGGCTCTGGCATAAACCAGTACAGGTGGTCCCAGTGGTCATCGGCACACTGGGTGCCGTGCCAAAAGCATTTGGAAACAAACATTGACAAAATCACAATCTCAACTGCAAAAGGCCACCTTACTTGGATCTGCATGCATCATTTGAAAATATATCACACAGCCCTAAATGCTTGGGAAGTGTTCGATTGTGATTTTGTGATACAAAATCCAGCATATATATCTTGTTTGCTGTGTCATACTGTGTTTTTGTGTCAGTATAATAATAAACTTTATTTGTACCCACCACCGTCTCCCCAAAGGGACTCGGGGCGGCTCACAGAAGCACTCCAAGTGCCACATGCAGAAAACAATACATAAGTATAAATACAATGACATAAGTATAATCATTAGTGCATATAAAAAAATTGAAAATTATAAAATTCCTAAAATGCAGTGGAACCATGTTGGCTGGCTATCTGCCATAACAAAGTGTGGGCCAGTACTATCAATGATTCATCACATTGGCCAAGAAGAACTACCCTAAAATATAGCAGAGCATCCAATAACAAACAGGATACAAAAGTTGAGCACGTGGTCATTAGCGAACAGAGCGTGAGATGCTGTGTGATGTGGCTGTAAAGAATTTAGAGCTTCGGCAGGCAATGATGCAAAATCCTATCTTTAAAAAAAATCACAAAAGGTTTCTTTACAATAAGAAATAACGGCATTTCTTAATAATCAAGAACTGGGTCTGAGCTACTCTAATACCCATCTCTTCTAAGGTTTGAAAAGGGAAAAACTCAATCACTACATCTCTCCTGACATACAAGCAGAGAGAGAGATCTCAAAGCACACAGCTCAAAGTCTCCATACTAAAGTGTAAGAAGGCAGAAGGTAGTTTCGAAAAGCTTGCAGTAGAAAAGTATCCATTTTAAACAACCAATCAGAATTTGAGGAGAAACAGAGAAGAGAGAAGAAATTAGATACATTCCAACTGTCATATAAAAGACACAGGGGAAGGGAAGCCCTTAGTCAGTACTAAACTAACTGTTCCTCATTGAGGACTTGAGACTTGGGCGGTGTGGGGTTGAATTCCAACAAGGAGGAAGCACCCCCAAGCGTCATCCCTGCTGTGAATGGCATTCCTGCTCAGATCTTGTGAACCGAGGACCAGGACTTCCTTACTAGATGGAGCCAACCCACCTGTGACCTGGGCCTGGCCTTCCTCTTCCCTCCTGCCTTCAGCCCCACTCAGCATTCTGCTCTTTTCCAGTGAGTCATGTAATCCCATGATAAACTCAACTGTAATAGTGAGAGTTCAGGCTTAGTTTGTTGTCAGGCTCATTTATTTGTATTTTTGGCAGTCCACATTATCTGTAAACTTCTCCTCCATCACTTCATTTCAAATGAGTTGATTTTCTTCCTGACAGTTGTCTTTACAGTCCTTCTTTTACTTTGTTCAGAGTCAGACTTGAAATCCAGGCATCCACTCCCTTGCACAGGTCTTAGAGTCCCAGTCTGTTGACTGAATCAGCCTACCTGGATATAATTTGGTCTCCCCCTTATTCTGCTGCCTGTGAGGCATGCTTTCTCATTTTGTGCCCAAGTATAAGCACCGCAGTTTAGTCATCTTGACTTCTAGGGAGAGCTCAGACCTGATTTGCTCCAGGACCCATTTATCCTTTTATCAACCCATATTATCCACAGAACCATATGTCAAATGAGCTGATTTTCTCCACTGTCTGTCTTACATAAACATTGGAAATAATATGGCATGGATGATTCTGACCTAGGTATATGTTTACACTTGAAGATCTTGTCTAATAACTATGTAGGTGTCTTCCTTAGTCTTTTTCATTTTGGGAATGCAGTTTCAGTTTCGATCGATAACTGAACAGATTATCAACATGTTTTTAACAATTTTTGTGTCTTTATCATTACTGTATATCTATGTCTGTTCTCTACACATCACTTTTGCTTTCATTTTTTCAACTGTAACCCTACTTTTGTACTTTTTTCCTTAACGTTAATCAATAGTTACACGGTCAGTGCTTTTTCCTGCTATTAATATGGTATAATCTGCATATCTTCAGTTATTGGTGTTTCTTCCACCACTTTTCACATCTCATCCTCTAGAGACGAGTCTCGTTTTCTGTGTGATCTAAATTAAAGAGGTGGGGTGATAAAGACACTTTTGTCTACCCCCCTCCCCACTTTGCCAACTGAAAATTACTGTTTCTCCATATTGTATCCTGTCAGCAGTGTCTTTTCCAGCATATATGTTATATTTAGCATTTCCAGTCTGTAAGCCATTGTTCTGTTTTTCCCTATTGTTGGCAGATTCATAAAATATGGATAGATTCCATCTCTATAGCTGGAAATCACTGTATGAGTGTAGCATCTATGCGTGGTGATTTATTTTGCTCAAGTGCTTTGAGAATAACTTCCATACTATGTTTTTATATATATTCTTATGCTACTTATAATATCAATAAACTTCCCTTGTTAAAAAAAAAATCAGTTCCTAAAGTGAATTATAGAAATTGTTCAAAAGCAAACACCTTGCTTCTTTTTGACCATGCTGAGTCTATTGCCAAATTGAAACCAAATGTTCAGTAATGCCCTGAAAAATAAATACATTGAATGGTAAATATGCTAAAGCAGTGGTGTCAAGTTCATTTTCCCTTCAAAGGCCTGTTTGCAATTGTAAGACTGTATAATGTCCTGGCATTGAAAGCTTTGTGGGCCACACAAAATGACATGGTGGCAAGATTTGACCCACATGTCTTGCATTTGACTCATGTGCCCTAAAGGCCCCAGCTCATGTCAGATCTTGGAAACAAAGCAAGGCAAGCCATGCTTAATACTTGAATGGAAGATGGCCAATGAATACCTGGTGCTGTAGGCTATATTTCAGAGGAAAGAACTTGCAAAACCTCTCTGGCCATTCCTTGCTCTAAGGAAACCTAATGATACTAATAGCATCACCATAAATCAACAGGCAACTTTAAAGCACATACACACACCATGCTGTGGAAAGCTAGTGTGGTGTAGTAGTTTGAGAGTTGAACTATGTCTCTGGAAACCAGGATTTGAATCCCTACTCAGTCATGAAAACCACCTAGGATACCTTGGGCAAGTCACATTCTCTCAGCCTCAGAGAAAGACAAGCAAGGGCAAATCCTTTCTACCAAGGTGTACCGCATGATGGGTACACCTTAGATTCTTTGTAAGTCAGAAATGAGTATAAAACCATACACCTTGTTGGCACTCTCCAGGTAAGGATGCTTAGTACTGTGTTCTTATAAATACTTTTCACCAGTTTGGGGCCAAATTGGAAATTAGTTCAAGAGTATAGAAGGGATGAGAAAGGCTGATCTAATTGGAAGTAACTAATGACAAGATAACTGATTTGAAAATTTTGAACATCTTTTATCTAATAATTTGCTTAGTTCATCAGATGGATCTCTTATTCAGACATACAGTTTGATTTACTGTAGGTTTATTGACATTAAAATCTAGATTCATTACTACTGTGGTAATTTTTGTCAACTTCAGTATCTTCCTACAGACTTTGCCTCTCAATAATTTGCAATGTGCTTAACCTCTTTGCATTATTAATTTTCTGATTCCTAGCTGTAGCTACATGTTCGCTTCTGTCTTTTACTAGTTATGGCTTCTGAAGACGAAGAAGAAATTGTTACTACGGAGATGGGGTCGCCACCCCTTCAGAAGAAGAGTCCCATGTCAGGGTCATTAGACCAAATCCCAAATAGAATAGGGGGTTCACTATCTCCTGAAATTTCCAGTAACAAAACCGACTCTCAAGATTCCAAAAGTGAGTATCTTTCTATGGGTTGGTACTGAGTTTTTGTGTGTTTGTGTATGTGTGGTATCTGAGTTTACAAAGGTCTCTTGAAAACTTTCATTGTTGTATTACAATACAGTTATTTTGTTTCAACCAACATTATTAACGAAAGGTGGTATGATTCCTTTTGATTTTTTCCTAACTGCTGATAAAAGAATTTGCAGACTTGCATGATCCATATTCTTCATATTGAAAAGTCCACAAAACTCTGTGCAAAATGCTTACTTTGATTAAATACTGGAAGTCTAATATAGGCAAGGGCAACTTCTGATGGTCCTAGGGTGGTGTGATGGCAAAAATCTTTTTAAAGTACATTTCTTCTCTAAACAATAGTGCATGGGAAGCTTTCCTCTTCTTTTAAAACTTTTGAACTGCTTGAATCCTGAATTTACTTTAAAACATATTATCCTTGCTCATCTCCTCTTAAGGCAGAAATGCAAAATAAATTAAAAGCTTATTTGTTATTGTTGACCCAAATCTAGCCATGGAATTAGAGGGTGAGCTATAAAATGGAGTAAAAAGCTATGTTTGAGCTGCATGTTCCTCAACTATTATCTAACAACAAATATTTCTTATCAGTATATTGTAGACCCCGTGTAGTAAAACACTACAGTGTTTTCCATTCAGTGTATCACTTTAAAAATCATTCAAAGGTATTGTGTGAAATCATGGTGGTGAATGACAGCAGTCAAATAACCACACAGTTGGGGAATAGACTTGTGCAAATATGCTTTGCTGGCAGCAGTATGGGAGTTTTCCCCCCTGTTATTCATGATGTTGCATAAACTTACTGCACTTAAAAGAAATGTAAATTTCCTAGTTTAAATTGTATTTGCTCTCTGTCAGGAGTACTCTGTCAGGTTATGCTTTTCCTGCATGACAGGGGGTTGAACTAGATAGCCCATGCAGTCTCTTCCAACTCTTTGATTCTATGAAACAAAGAAACTAATACTTTTTTCAAATGTCAGTTTTTGAGATCATCACAAATAGTCAGTTGTGATGATGTATGTGTATTAAAGCATTTCCCCTTACTCCAATATTCCAAGACCAGCATTGAAAGGTCGATAAAAAGATGATGTCTGCTCACAGACTTAAAAGACACAACATAAAAGGAGGGAAAGGATGAGGAGGGTGGTGGAGGAAACAAGTGATCAGTTCTTAAAGTTAGACAGTATTTTTATAACTAAATAGAGTGGAAACAGTTCAGGCAAAGAAGGGGCCAAACCAGGCTGAAGTGGCCTTCTCTCCCATTCTTTCTTGGTGGAATCTCTCTTGGTGGAAGACTTTTCCTGCTCCTTGGTTACAGTGGGTGGTTATATTTGAAATAGGCTTGAAAATTAGAATTGCAATATTGTGTTAAGAGGAAGGCTGAAGAGGATGTTACCCTGTGGATTTCCATATCTTAGCTAGCATTGGGGTAGTTTTGTGTGTGAATATGTTTCAAGTATTAGTGTTATGGTAGACTGGCAATTAAAATGTTGATTTCTTTCTTAAAGGAACTTGGTTACTGAGTACCCTTTTAAACTCACCCCAATCATTAGTGAAATCGTCCCTGGCTAAATACACTGGAAGTGTAGACGTGTGTTTAGCATGTCCAAGATTGCATTTCGTTGGTTGATACCATCATAGAGGCCCAAATCAAGATAGCATGGTGTGCACCATGGGTCTGCTGGCTGGTAGCAAAGACGAATGTGAGTTCAGCTTAACCTTGTCTCAATAAGTCACTCTCCTCTTTCCAGCACCAAACCTCACGACATGTGAGGTCTGTGGCACCTGCTTCGAGACACGCAAGGGCCTGTCCAGTCATGCCCGTTCTCACTTACGTCAGCTTGGCGTGGCTGAGTCTGAGAGCAGTGGAGCTCCCATCGATTTACTGTATGAACTGATGAAGCAGAAGGGCAAAGTGGACAGCGGCCCCATCTCTCCAGGTCTTAGCAAAAAATCTGCTTCTCCCAAAGAAGGGACTGCAGGGTCCACACGGCCAACACTACTGCCTCTCAGCAAAGCTCCAGAATGGCCCCAGGAGCCACCTGTAAACAAAGCAATCAAATCCCCTCCAGGTTTCACCCCCAAGAATGTTGCCCAACCAGCATCTCCCCTTCTCAAGAAAGTGGCTCCTGCTCTGCCTGGTTCTCCTCTGCCAAAGAACCCTGAAGACAAAAGCCCCAAGCTACCGCTGAGCCCTCTGCAGAGTTCTCCTAACGCACAGTGGCCGCAGCCGGAGGAAGAAGGCCCCTTAAATCTAAGTGAGTCTGTTTGATGCTGATGCTGCTTGCAAGCAAGAGAGTTGGCTTGCAGTTTGCTGCTGCAGGGAGCTCTTGGGTTTTGCATTATCGTATAGAGAGAACCAGTTCAGGGCTACATACCAACAAGATATATCTTATACCTTCGGTGCTGGGCAGGCTGCTGCTTTCACACACATTCCATCTTATATACACCATAAAAGACAAATTGATCAGTGGTTAAAGAGTCCTGTTCTATTTCTAGAAGAATTTCTGAGTGTATTAAATATGGCTCTGGTTTTGGTGAGAGCCAGTTCTTGTCTTTCACAAGCCACATAAGCAGGATTTGCTCATTAAAAGATTCCTAGACATGCATCTGAGAGACCTCTGTTCCCCAAAGAGGCAGTTTTGTTCAATTCAATGCATTTCTTCCCCAATGCATCACTGGAAGAGTCAGTCATATTGGTATTATACATTGGAGCCTCTCTGCATATGTCGTTCTGATGTGTGTTCAGAGATGTTAAGTAACTTCTGGAAAGCAGGGATATTCTTCCACTTAAGTGACAGCAGCCATAAATAGAATCCCTTTCATCAGAAAAGTCCTGACTGACATTTATCTTCATCAGAATAAAAAGCTAAGGCACAGCCTAGGTTTCTGAGAATATCTAGTGCTTTTAAAAGAAAGTCTCTGTACAGTGTTTGGGAATAAAAGGTGAGCGACACAATGCTACTGAAACTTCAGGGTTCCAAGCTTGAGGCAATTTCTACTGCTACTAAGTCGCTGCTTTTTCTGCTTTGCAAATATGCATGTTGTCTGTGTCCCTTCCTTGTCTGGGCCATCCATTGTGGATTTGCAACTAATGTTGGAGCTTCTTCTTAGTTTGTTCATAGACTGACCTAGTAGGAGTGCTTATGAGCTCTCATATTCTAAGTTAGGTCTGTTCAGTAATGCTATTCAGCTATATCTTTGACAAGCAGCCAGAAATTATTTCAGCCATCCAGTGCCCCTACTGCAGTTGCTTCTGGTGATGTAGTAGTGAGCTCTTACTTAATCTGTCTCAAAGGTACAGGTAAGTTGGACCATAAAGAGAGAGGAATGTTCCGGTGGGCTTGACCAAAACTGCAAACTGCACCTTTGTGTTTATTGTTTCCCTCATGGTTCTTGGCAGTAACCAAATCTGTGGCTTCAATTATATGGAAGTTTCCTGTGGTACCCTGACTGAAATCCTCCCTTTCATCCAGCTACCCTATCATTCAAAAGCCCAGTTTCTTTCTTCACTGCCATCAAAGTATATTATTGGGCCAAAACCAGTGTTTTGGCCCAATAACATTTGAACATTGGTGACCTTGGGTATAATGTAGTTCCCTCTCAGCTATACAATTGAGAAATGTTAACTTTGAGATTGAATCCACCTATAACTACTCTTCTTTCCCCATGGTAAGTTTTTTGTCTTCATATGTTAGAGAGCATTCTAAAAGCTTTCCTTTTATTTTTCTTTGTTGATTGACTATTCCTTGCTAGATGTGACCTTGAATTGTGTTTTGTATAGGCAGCTCTATACCTATCTGAAGAATCGTAACTGTGATTTATTGTTTCCACATAGCTTAATTGTACATGTGACAAAACCTGGCATAAGTAGCAATTCTGCACTCACTGAGTCACCACAGTTTTAAGTTCTGGTATCAGGCATGTTCTTACTAACAGGTTATATTTCATGTTGTAGACTATAGTAATATGTGGTTGTGAAATAGTCACTGTGAAGCCCTTTAAGCTCATCCTTGTTTTGAAATTAAATTTAGAGCTGAAATTGGATCGAAGGCATTTCTGGAAATTTCAGTTTTGGGAAATTAGTACATATTGGAAAGGCTTCTTTTTTCATTTTGCTGTTGTAGAGGGTAATCATTCAGATGAAATGGAATGTTAAGTGAACATATGAATACTTTGAATCTTATCAATTGAAAATTTGAGGGAGCGTGTTGTGCACTTTACTGACTGCTCAGTAAAGTACCATCTTGCATTTGTGCTATTGACCTGCTTCCTTGTTGGTAGCTTCAGTAAATCTGGGACTGATGGAATCTGACACTTCAGTGGGTCTTTCTGGTTTCAAAAAGTCATAGAGATCTGGATGACCAGGTGGTTCTTGATGAGATGGGAAAAGGTTTCAGCATGTTTTCAAGAAAGATAATTCTTGTTTGTTTGAAAAAAAGTGACCTAAGGAATCTGGTTACTGTATATACTCATGTATAAGTTGACTTCATATATATGTTGAGAGCAGGCTTGAGGCCAAAATTATGGAATATGATATAGCTTATGGTTATGTTGAAGGTTGTTCCATGTAGGGGGAAAGCACCAATATTGCCTCAGGGGACCGAACACCTCTGACCACCACTACTGTTTTCCTGCCCAGGCATTTGAAAAGGCCAGAAGCCCTGCAGCGGTAGGGAAAGTAGAGAAGTTGATGGACTGAGCTCTTGCCTTTTGCCACTCTACCCAGAGAAGAGAGGGGCTTCTTTTTTGATAAGAGTTAAGATACAGTGCTCAGATTGACCCCTGGACATTTTGACTAGAACTTCTAGATTTATACCTGAGTATATAGGGTAAACATGAGTCTTCTGTGAGAATGTCTGTTTGCAACTATTAACCCAGCAGCAATGGTTTAGGTGAATAACATGCCTGTCCTTTGGGCCATTTCTTAAATCTTTTGAGAAGCTACTTGATGATACATTTCTGGAATAACAAACTGATCTTTTGGAGCAAGATCCTCTTTAGCTTGTTAACAGGTGCTTGAGACACATTCTCTGTGTGATCGTATCTATTGTGATCAATGTTTTTTTTCCCCCTGCAGCTGTAGATAGTGATTCGGGCAGAGAAAATGACTGCCAGTTATGTGGTGCCTGGTTTGAAACCAGAAAGGGGCTGTCGAGTCACGCTAGAGCCCACCTGAGACACCTGGGAGTGAGCGATCCAGATGCTAAAGGATCTCCTATTGATGTTTTAAATGAGCTCATCAAAAGTGAAGACTTCAAAGGCCATCTTTCTTCTCTCCTCTCTAGTGAGAGAGAATCATTAGGGGAGACTGAGAGCTCTGATGGACCGAGCCCAAAGAGCACAGCTACAGCAGCGCCTGCCACAGGCATGAAACAAGTACATTCACCAAGGCCTTTGGGCAAGCAGCCATCTCTACTCTCACCTCAATCCCCTCCATCATCCAAGAAAATGAAGCCAAACGGTCACAGGCTGTCAGCTGTGGCTAATCTTCAAAGAAAACAGGGTCTTTCATCCAGTGCGTACTGGGAATCAGATGCTGAGATGGCTCCACTCAATCTCTGTAGGTTCTTTCAGCACTGGCTCTTATCCCCTCCTCTTCCTCTGTCCTTTCCCAGTCTTGTTTATGTGACATGGAGCTATACACCTAGCTATCTAGGCCCTTGCCATTTCTTTTCCCGTATCTGAAAAGCAGTACAGGGGTGGGGAAGCAGGCACTGTTGCCCATATATTCTCCACTCCCCTTTTCTTCAAAAGCATTTTCCCCCTTAAGTTTATTATGCAATTTTTCCAGCTGGCCTTTGCACTCAAGTTATATCTTCCCTGTCTGGGCAGTTACTCCATGGTTGCACCTTGCTCCAGATGGATGGCATCTCCCCAACGGAGCTATGACAAGGCTGTATGCTTGTTGGCTATGCAGTTGGGAGAATCCCAGTATAAAAGTTTGTTGCGGATGAAAGGGAGATTTAGTGTAAATTGGGAGGGAGAAATATAACCTCTTAAGAATCTGAGCCCTTTTGTGGCTATTGATTAGACCCTGCTGCACTTTCTAGAGCAGATGAAATGCTCAGTGTTGAGGTTTATTTTCCCTTGGCATTTAGCAGGGAAATGATTCCTTATTATTTTGCTGTTCAGCAGGAGTTGAAACCTAATCTACATCACATTCCAGGGATTGAGGAGAAATATGCATCAGCTATTTACTCGCCTTCGTGTGGGACAAGTAAAGAATATCTGTCAAATAGATATTTGCATACTGTTGGTTTAAAAACCTTTGATAACAATGGACACCCCATGTTGAATGGTGTGTTTCACCCCTTAGTACTGGATGCTTTCAGAGAAGGCTGCATGGCTCAGGAGTGTTTTCTGGCAAATACAGATCATTTGCTGTTTTTTCTCATAAACAAATAGGAAAAAATAAGCAGACATTAAAATCTAGGAAAGAAATGATACGCAGCCTTTCCATAATAGATCAACTTGTGCAGTTGTATAGGAAAGTACTATCCAGCTTTTTGATCTACCTGAGTGGGCCTGCATTTTGAAATAGGCCCCAGGATATCTGTCATGGAGGGAGATCTAACCTTTTTGTAGATTCCTTGGCATATACTTGGGCTTCATTAACTGGATGGTATTGTGTGGGAGGGAAAGTACACAGCTTCTGTTCTGCCTAATCACCAGAGAGACAAGATGTCGTAAGATCAACCATGTTCTACATTTTTTTAAAAAATGGCTGTGCCTGCTGTCCACCATCTCTTATCCTTTTCTCCAGTGCTTCCTGCTTTGACCATGTCCTCCCCTAAATTTCATGCTTCACAGGAATGTTGGTGGTTTATTTCCTTTGGCCATGCTTGTTGAGGTATCGGCTTTGCCTTGTATAAGACACTTGTGCTGTGTGCCTGCTTCATACTGCTTTTGGGGGAACAGTAGATGATACCCACGTCACAGTCTGCTCTTTGACCTTTCTTTTTACCATGCTCCCAGGCCCTGTCATCGATTGTCTCCTCTCTCATATTTCTTCATAGCTTCTGGAGCAGAACCTGTGCGGGACATCAGGTGTGAGTTCTGTGGTGAATATTTTGAGAACCGGAAAGGGCTCTCCAGCCATGCCAGATCACACTTGCGACAAATGGGAGTGACTGAGTGGTATGTAAATGGCTCTCCCATTGACACACTCCGAGAAATTATGAAGCGGCGATCACAGCCTCGGACCAGTACCTCCAGCTCCCCAGCACAGGGTCAAAAATCAGTTGCCCTGCCTGTTCTTGGAAGCTCTCTGGAACCCCACAGCCCAGGGGAAGGTCATGTGCCTGCAATCCCTAAGAAGGCACATCCTCCAGGGAGCCCCATGGGGCATTCATCTACCTCATCTTCTCCCCCAACTGCTAGAAAAATATTCCCAGGGCTTCCTTCTCCTTCCTCTCTGCACAAGAAGCTGAAACAAGACCAACTACACATGGAAATCAAGCGAGAAATGTTGTCTGGCGGACTTCACAACGATTCACATCTGTCCGACAGAGCTTGGTCACCACGAGAAGATATGTCCCCACTCAATCTCTGTAAGTTTTGATAATAAGACCACCAGAAACATAGTTCTCTGGTGATAGAAAGAGGCATATCAGAATGGGGATGTGGACTTTGAAGCAGGCAGCAGGCCTGATTTTCTCCTATTAAAAATGCAAATGGCCCTGGGTATCATTGCAAGAACTTTACTTGTGTTCCCACATGCTTGCACCGATAAAATTATAAGAGATTGACATTTCAAACATGATACTTTAGCACAGTGATAAGTCTTGTAGTTGGCATAATATTTAGACACACTTCGTTTCAAATGTCCAATCACCTGAAAAATAATGAAGCGATGAATATACAGGCATAAACAACTAGGTTTAGATTTGAGCGCTAAACTTTGATGGATGATGGTTTTAAACAAGTCAATATATTAGATAAAAGTAATTAAATTCCCCATTTTTGTTATATTGAAAAGTGCTCAGGGCCCTTCCACACGGCCATACAACCCAGAATATCAAGGTAGATGATCCACAACATCTGCTTTAAACTGGGTTATCTGAGTCCACACTGCCATGTGCCAGTTCAAAGCAAATAATGTGGGATTTTATTCAGCTCTGTGGAAAGAGGCCTCAGAAATAGGAAAGAGCATTGTGAGGGGATTGCATGTTTAGCTGCATATGCTGCATTTTTGTTAATGTTAAGCATTCTTTCTTTCTTTCCCTCTTTTTCTCACAGCTTCTCGTGCTGACCCTGTGCGGGATATTCGGTGTGAATTTTGTGGTGAGTTTTTTGAGAACCGAAAGGGACTTTCCAGTCATGCAAGATCTCATTTACGCCAGATGGGTGTAACTGAATGGTCAGTCAATGGCTCCCCCATTGACACACTTCGAGAAATTATAAAGAAAAAGAACAAGCCATACTTCATAAAGAAGGAGCCAAACACAATGAGCATTGAGCTTCCAAAATCCATGGGAGATGAGGGATTTGATCCTAAATCCCCTGGGAAAATGCTGCAGTCCATGTCCTTGTCCCCACTGGGTGGGAGGACTGGAAAACCAAATCTTGGTCGGGATATCTCTCTCTCCCCACTCAAATCACAGGAGGGATTCTTTACGCCACTCTCTACTAAGCGTCCACTGTCAGATGAGCGTCTGAGTATTCACCACAGTGAAATGAAGCATAAAACCTACATCCAGACTGAACTGCCATTCAAAGCCAAGCATATGCATGAAAAGCCCACTCATACATGTAAGTGCTTCTTCAGGATGGGGGACGGGATACGAATGGGAACCAGAGAAAAACTAGCATTCTGTTTCTTTCCTTAATGGGTTTACTTTTTAACTGCTGTAATTGGTTGTGATGCATTAGTTTCCAATCATAAGTAGTTTGTTGCAAACTTGGAGGTATAAGTAAACGTCCTGATGGGTGGGTGCTTTCAAAATCTAGTGTAAACAAGAAGGTGACGCATTGTCGGGCCTTTTTACTTGATATAATACTTGATATAATTTAAATTTAAATCTTCTAGCTGTAAGAATGAGTTATTTCACAGTCTTTGGAGTGGTAGCCATCTGGTGTCAATAAATACAACAAATGCCTATTCAACCATAGACTGAAACCTCCACAGTAATCAAAGGCATGCAGTTATCTAGTTTGTGTATGAAGGGCTATGGAGTTGGATTTACTTGGCTTGTGGGTTGCAGGTAAGAGCCCCTAGAAAATGATGCATCAGAAATTTCAAGGGGGGGGGGGTATTCCAGCTTGTCAGCCTTTAAAGGGGAAACACAAGTAATGACATGAATCAAATAAGACTTAGTGCCCCACTGTTTATATGATTTACTGAGGGTTTTGCTCAGTCTAGCTCCCTGCCATTTCTGCTCCCAGCCAGCGAAGCCTGCTGTGAACTCTGTGGCCTCTACTTTGAGAACCGTAAGGCACTGGCCAGCCATGCTCGTGCGCATCTCAGACAGTTTGGAGTGACTGAGTGGTGTGTGAACGGCTCCCCGATCGAGACTTTAAGTGAATGGATCAAGCATCGCCCCCAGAAAGCTGGAGCCTATCGCAGCTATATCCAGGGAGGACGCCCCTTCACCAAGAAGTTCCGCAACGCCTCTCATTTTCGTGAGATCGATCTCTCTGGGAAGAGGGTTCCCCTGAGCTTGCACGCCAGCAGCCCTCTACTGGCAAGCAGAAGCCTACTAGGGGAGATGTTGCCCAGTGAGCCCAGCAAAGCTGTGGATTGTGGTAGCAGTGGTGAGCGGCCTGCAGTCACATTCCCTCTGTCTCTGGTGAAGGTGGAGGAGCATCAGCACCATAACATCAACAGTGAGTTATTATACCCAATTTGTCTGCATAGGGCCCATTACAAGGCTTGTTGGATAGTCAGAAGAGGCTTACTTGGTAAAGAAGACACTAGCCTCCTTGGGAGTATGGGTTGAGTAGGATGCAGGAACAGATCTTATTTCCCATTGTTGCCATTGCTATATTTAAGGAGTAAAGAGAGGAGCTATGTTAGCCATTAGAGAAAATGCAAAACACCAACTTAATATTTTTAAATGGTTGTCTAAACCAGAGCTTCTTAAACTGTGGGTTCTGACCCCAAATCGGGTCCCCTTATCTCAATGTTGGGGTTGTGAAAAGCTTCCTTCCCCCCTCCCTACCCCTAGTAGGAGCTGCGGCAGCTGTTGCTGCTTCTATCAAACGAGGAACAGAAAAAGCTGAGCTCAACCTGCTAAGCGAAGGGAAATGGCCCAGCCGAGGCAGCTGGTCACGTGGCTGTATGATGGCTAAAGAAACCACCCGGCAATGGAGGAGGAGGGCGAGAGGAGGAGGAGGAGGTGGGATGAGGAAAAGAAAAGGAGGTAAGGGCGAAAAAGGAGGAGGAGGAGAAGGAACCCTGCCAGCCTCTCTATGCATTACCGTATTTCCCTTTTTTCTCCCCAACCACATCCCCTTGTGTGAAGGAAACATGATTTTTTAAATTTTTTTTAAGGATTGCATCTTAAGCTTCCTGCAGAATTTATCTTGAAATAGGATGGACTCTTTGCATCCAAAAATTCAACCACCCATAGCTTGAATATCTATATCTATCTCAAACCTTGTATTTGCCATTTTATGTAAGGGATGTAATTTTACTACATACTTATCTATCATGGGATTTGAGCATCTGTAGTTTTGGAATCCATTGTGGGTCCTGGAACCAAACCCAGCAGATTCTGAGGGCTACTGTATTTTATTTAAGGGGTTTGATTTGTATGTACTTCGAACACAGTCCTTTCCTAATTGTTATTGATCTGGTACAATTGGTCCTCCGTATCCACTGATTTAACCATCCAGTATTTTTTAAAAAATTGTTTTGTATACCTATTTCATATACTTATATACCCAGGGTCACATAAAACTTTCTTGGGCAAAAAGGGGTCACAAGTTGAAAACATTTAAGAAGCCCTGGTCTAAATGGGCACAAAAATGTAGAAGTTTTTGGTTATTTCCCTACTCCAGGAGAAGCAGATTTCTTCAGAAAAATCCTGCATGACTTTTAGGTTGTCTGCTTCCACAGTATTTATTTTTCCAATGACAGAATTTTTCAAAGAATATTGTTTTCAGTTTCATTCTGTTGCACCTAGTGCTGTTTGCTGTGCTCAGCCATCCCTTCTGAAATAAACATTTATTATTTTCATTAGAATTTGAACGGAGGCAGGCCAAGCCCGTTGAGGCTCCTCTACCTCGAGAAGATGAGACCAGTGATGTGCAGCAGAAGGCTGACGAGGCTCGCCAGCCACCTCTTAGAGTGAGACCAGTGCCCTCCTTGGTTCCAAGGCCACCACAGACTTCCTTGGTTAAGTTTGTGGGCAACATCTACACGCTGAAGTGCAGGTTTGTGCCATTTCTGTCTGATGGTAAACTTTGAATAGATAGTACGTTCTGTGGCTCTTCTATATAGTATACTATCAGACATTTTACAGGAGACAGTGCGTCTTGCCATAGGATTCACCAAGGTAAGCCAAGAAATGGACAAGAAACCCTTTTTTTCCCTTGACATTTTCCTAACTTGCTACCATGTCGATGTTTTGGCCTTCATCTCACATTATTGTTTGCCACTGGCCCTACTGATGAGAGGTGCATTCTACAACATCTAGAGGGCACCAGGTTGAGTTAGGCTATTTCAGAAAGTTTCACTATGTACTTTGAGATTATCCATATATTTTTTTCAAATTGGCTGCAATAAACATTATGTTCTCTTCATGCAGGTTTTGTGAAGTGGAGTTCCAGGGCCCCCTCTCCATCCAAGAGGAATGGGTGCGGCACCTCCAGCGCCACATCTTGGAGACTAACTTCTCCAAGGCAGATGGCCTGAGAAGTGAGATTGATGTGCCTGTGGCACCACCTGTAGCTGAGGCTCAGTAGCAAAGCTCTTAGGAAGCACAAGCATTCCAGGGTATCTCCCTTACCTTTCCAGATGAACAAGAGTAACAAACAGGGCCGGAAGCAGTATTTGACCTTCTGGGTTCCACGGCTTCATTTCTGAGGCAGGTATCTGTGGGCTGACTTGGACTTTGGGAGGTTGGGAAAAGAGTCCCCGCATTTAAGCACTAAATGAACCACGCTGTTCCTATTGGTGATGCTCTTTATTGACAGCAGTGATACTCCAGATTGGAGTTTGCCCTTGGGCATTCTGTCTGCACAGAGCTGAGGGTATGGAACAAAGTGAAATGGGAATTTCCTTGTCCTTCCAGTGAATCCAAGTTTCTCCAAAGACACACTCTCATTATAGGAAGCATGGGCTTTCTCTGTTACAGCTCAGGCTGTAAGAGGTGTGATGGTAAGAGTTGTGAATATGAGGTTCTAGTGAAAGTTGTGAACATGAGGATCTGTGTGAAGCCAAGGTTAGGCAAGATGGGAGGGTGGATGCAGAGCTCTTTTGCTCTGTGGGGAAAGTTGTTGATTCTGTATGTGACCCTAGAGTTGATGTGCGTTTGACTCCTTAGGTGACAAGTCTTTAGTTTCTGTAGATGTTGGGTCCTGTTGTGCATGTTCATGTCCTCCAACTATGTGTACTGGGAATTGGTCCCATCAGCAGTAAAGCGGAAGTAATGAATTTCTTGACCATATACACTTCCCCTTTTCCTCACTTCCTGATACCACTTGGTTATTCCTGTCTATTTCATGTGGGACCCTTCATTTAGGAAACCCAGCTCTGCCATTATTATGATAATCAGATTTTGGCAGAGGAGTATGTTGCATTTCTTGTCTTTAGCCCTATAATGAAGTATGGGCCATGATTTCCCTATGGTGACATCTGCCTGAAATCAGTGGAAACGTGTGCTTTTGACCAATTCTGAATAAGCACGTTCTTTTCAAGAGTACATGGAAGGCTGAGGGGAGCATGGCCTTCTGGACTTCTTGGTGGAAGGGCTGTGATCCTCCTTTCTAGCAAACCCTTGGTGCCGTTCCCAAATCAGCAACAGTAGACCCTGTTGGAATTCCTGCTTTCCTGTTTTTGGTTACTGTTGCTGTACTTTTTCTCTCTTCATAGAACCTCAACTTTTTAAACTCTAGTTTTGTGTAGAAATAACAAGCATTTGTTTTTATTTGGAGCCAGGCTGTGCAGAGCCTGGGAGAAAATTACCTTTTAACTTTTTCAGTGGGCATATTCTGGTTATTACTGTATCTAGGAATATGTATATTAGATTAAATTCTGTTCTGGAAACAAAATGGAGAATCCTGAGTCTGTGGTTTCTGCTCATCCTTTATTTTTTTTAAAGGGGGGGGGGGGCAAGATGGAGGATACTTTGTGGCTTCTGTAGAGGGAAATCCAAAACCCTTTCAAGCTGTTTCCTATAAAAAAACAAATCTGTTTTAGCACTCACTATACACTGAAATGAGCATTATCGTTTGCTTTTTAAGCTTGGCTTACTACATAAGCTTGTTAAAGCATGTGTTTTAAAATGTTGCTTTCGCTTTCTCATATTTCATCCAAAAATTGATTCTGAACTAAATCCATGAAAGGAATTAAGTATGAGGACTGTTTACAAAAGTGTGATGATACCACTGAGACAGACTATCATTGAAAGTGGTTACATGTTTCTTCATGCACAATCCCCTCCTCTGATGTTTCAAATAGTTTTCAGTTTTATGTACCATGTTCTTTAGTGCAGGCACATAATTAAACTACATGAAATATTTTTCCCTTCATAAACACTTGCAACACAGAGGAATGCCATGACATAAAGACATATCAGCCTATGAGCTTGTGTTGAGTACCCAATTAAAGGTATGTAGAAATTGCAAATCAGAGAATTATAATTTGGTGAAAGAAATGTTGACTCTATGTCGACCAGTTTTTAGTAGATTAACAAGTGTGGTGATATACTTCCAAACCCTGCACCAATGTGTAGCTACCACATCCCTTTCTGTCCTTCTGTATTAAAGAAGTCTCCTAAATTTATTGGTTATTGAGTAGAAAGAGGAATTCTTCCTGCCACTACCGTACTTTAAATTAGTACCATAGGCAGGACCATAACTTTGTAGATAATATCACGCTAGCACAGGGTGGGGATTGTGCAGCCAGCCCTCCGTATTTTGAAAGGCTATTGCCAGCAACTCTGGCCAGTGGCAAGGAATGCTAGGAGATGCAGCCAAAAAGACATTTGGAGAGCTGCAAAATTCTCAGCCTCATTTGGCTTGACTCACAGAATTAACTTAAAACAAAAATATAGGAGAAAGGGGGAAGATTTTGTCCTGCAATAAATTTGAGGAAAATTTATTTTCAGTGATAAAGAAAAAAATTAGTACAAATCTTCAGAGATCTTTCTTTTCATATGCACTGGCACAATGCCTATGCTGAAAGGTTTGCAATGATATCTGTGTATATGTATTAAGATAAGCTTTATTTAAGTTGGGATTTTTTCCTTTTATATGGCCTACACACATGGTCCTGCAATTTTGTTACTTTATGGAATTAATTCTATCTTGCATCTTTACTGGCATTAACGTCAGGAATATTTCTTGGAAAGACTTCGGACATATTTTTTTTTACCAGCTATTTGTTGCTTGTAGAAAGGACAACAGAGTGTCTCCGTGGCAATAGATGTATTTGATTTGGATTTATTTATTTCTGCGGTTAAAGCAGACGTCTCTTTATTTTTCCAAAGGCCATGCATTCAGTCTGTTACTAGTTTATATCCTGAAGGGAAGAAACTTTTGAATGTTTTCATCTTTAAACAGGTAAAACTCAAAAGTGGCAGCATTATCTAGTGGATGACAGGTGCTGTGGGATATATTTCAGAAAAAGGAACTTGTAAAGAGATTTCTGTGATTAATTGCAGCCTTATTCTCCCATTTCGGTATTTCACAGATGAAAATGGGGACTCTTGTGGCCAATGTGTGTGGTTAAAACATTGTAGTCAGCTAACAAGATGGCAACAATTATTAATGAGGAAGAGAACACACAAAACCGCCATTGTAAGCAGATAAACACTAAAATTAAAGTATTGAATTCAGAAAAGCCTAAAAAAAAGGGGGGGGGGTACAATAAATACAGCATTCCAGTGTGATTAAGAATAAACATAAAAGTATATGATATAGTATTCTAAAACTAAAATGCCTTTATCGGACATGCTCAATATTACAGCTTTCTCCCACATCTATTGTATAAACTCTACGTGCACATATACCTCTAATGCACGTCTGCTTCATTAATTGAGATATAAGAAAGCTATGATTCAGCTGGAGGAAAACTCGGTGTGGTGTTCACTGTGGGCAGTAATCAGGTCTTGCGTTCCCTAACAGTAGAGTTTCTTTCATCGTCTAACAGTGATGCAGCAGTGCAATGGAAGATGAATGTAAAACCAAGAGGCAAGAAGAAACCTGCTTGCTTATTTGGTGTACTGTGCTGTGGCTAGCTTATACTATCATTTCAGTTTCAATAGCTCTCAAGTATCTGGATGAGAGAGATGACTCAAACATATTCAAATTAAGGAGTCAAAAGGCAGGAGATTTTGTCCTATGGATAAGCTTATTTTGAAAGAAAAGGAGGAACTACTACTTTATCGGAGATACATTACTGGAATGTGTTTTTACAAGCTTTAGGAATTATTACAGTCAGCACTCTGTATCCATGGTTTCTGCATCTGATTCAGTCGTCTGTGGCTTGAATTATTTTTACAAAAATCCAAAAAGCAAACCTTGAAATTGCCATTTTATATAAGAGACGACATTTTGCCATACCGTGGATTTTAGTATCCACGGTGGGTCTTGGAACCAAATCTCAGTGGATACCAAGGGCCCAATGTGCTGCATTTGAGATGACAAATCTGTGTGAATGAGAGAGATTTATTTCCAACAGCATAATGCTTTGTACAAGTCAGTTTATTGATTTCATTTGATAAATTGGGTGTAAAGTCTAGGCATTGCAGAAGAGAGTTGAAGAAGTGATATAGATTAGCAAACATTAACATACATGAGCAGAATTACATTGGAGTACACAATAAAGGCTCAAAATCATGAAATCTGGTTCAAAACAAGCCTTGGTATTTTAATGATTTCAAAGAAATACCAGGATACTACAAAACACAGTAGACTATTAAAATATTTCAACCACAACAACAACACCTCCCAACAAAGGATTCCCCCAGGCAGGAAGCAGCCAGATTTTGAAGCTGCAAGACCAGTATTAATCCAGGTGGCCAATTGCAATATTCACACTTGCCTCAAACAGACAAGAGTTTTTTCTCCCACCCTGGACATTCCACAGATATATAAACCTCATTTGCCTAGTTTCCAACAGACCTCACAACCATTGAGAATACCTGCCACAGATGTGGTCGAAAATCAAAAGGCATTGCTTCTGGAACATGGCCATACAGCCCAGAAAACTCACAATAACCCAATCTCATTTGTGTAATTTCCCACTCTAAAGAGGAAACCCTTCTAAAGAGGAAACCCTCCCGGGGCTTCCTTGGTACGTTGTTGCTGTGTGCCTTTGTTCCTGGCTGGTCCTGACTCTAAGGTGAACCCGCCATGGGGTTTCCTTGGCAAAGGTTAGGGTTGAAGCTGAAAGTCTGACGCCCCTGACATTTGAGCCTCACCTCCTGCCTGCCTCTTGTTATCCCCACAGGACTGTGCCTGCCTACTAATATGTGATACACACTTTTGAAAGATAACCCTAGTGGCTGTCCAAGTTCTAATTCAGATGGTTCATGGGCAGAGGCTTATCTGCTGCATATAATCTTTTTTTTAAAAGAGTAGAAATGCAGATAGCTCAATCCCATTGAATCACTTGGTTCAGCAACACGTAGTAGATGCAGTTGATTCAATGCATCTACTGTACTCAGAACAATAGGGTTGATGCAATAATAGGCTAGCTTTAGGGAACTAAGCAGTCCATGTTCTCGCTGTGTTCTTTGATCTCCACTGGTGATGGAAATTGACTACAAATTTAAAAAAATAGTCCTTGGGGCTCACAGCGGGGACGGGGTTGGCTGCCTCTCCCTTCTGCCACCCCCTAGCGCAGCATTTCTCAACCTGGGGGTCATGAGGGGGTGTCAGAGGGGTTGCCAAAGACTATCAGAAAACACAGTATTTTTGTTGGTCATGGGGGTTCTATGTGGGGAAGTTTGGCCCAATTCTATGGTTGGTGGGGTTCAGAATGCTCTTTGTAGGTGAACTATAAATCCCAGCAATTACAACTACCAAACATCAAGGTCTATTTTCCCCAAACTCCACCAGTGTTCACGTTTGGGCATACTGACTGTTTGTGCCAATTTTGGTCCAAATTCATCATTGTTTGAGTCCACAGTGCTCTTTGGATGTAGGTGGACTACAACTCCTAAACTCAACGTAAATGCTCACCAGTCTTTTGTGTTGGTCACGGGAGTTCTGTGTACCGTGTTTGGTTCAGTTCTATTGTGGGTGGAGTTTGGAATGCTCTTTGTAGGTAAACTATAAATCCCAGCAACTACAACTCCCAAATGATAAAATCAACCCCGCCCAACCTCACCAGTATTTAGATTTGGGCATATCGGGTATTTGTGCCAAATTTGGTCCAGTGAATGAAAATATATCCTGCATATCAGATATTTACATCAGGTAGCAAAATTACAGTTATGAAGTAGCCGAGAAAATAATGTTATGGTTGGGGGTGACCACATCATGAGGAACTGTATTAAGGGGTCGCAGCATGAGGAAGATTGAGAGCCACTGCCCTAGCGCCATACTGGCCTGGCATTCTTGACATCTGCCTTCTTCATAACTCTTCAACACTGAGGCGGGAGGGAGGGAGGGAGGGAGGGAAAGGAGAGGAATCCGCTGGCAAAGAAGAAAGGGCTCCTGTCAAGAAAGACAATACACCTGGAAGCCCGAGTAGAGCGAAACCTGCGGGTTGTTCCCGTTGAGCCACCGTAGCTGCTCTTATTCGGGGTACATCGAGCCCCTTCCCCGATTTGCCGCTCTGGAGAAAGGCGGGTGCAGCCCCCGCTGTCCTGGCCAATGAGAGAAGCCGGCTGGTCCCGCCCCCTGAAAGACCCGCAAAAGAAAGCGGCCGCGGAGAAGCCCTATACAATCTAGTTCCGACCCCACCCCCCTCCGCAATGCATGAGTGATAGATGGTGAGACCCAATCACCTCTCAGAGGATCTCTAGCTAGTGTTGTCATTCGCTGTCGGGATTCGATTGGCGTCCGTCTTTACCTATCGGTCATTCGGGGAGATCCCGATCGACGTCCTCAACGTCGAATGAACCGTGAGGGCTTAACGCCCGCGGGCCAGTCGCACTCAAATGGGGCGGGACTAAGCGCTAGAGTGGCCAATAGGGACGAGCGTGGCCGGGAGAGTCGGGAGGCGGGGTTAGCACGGTACCGTTGCCGTCTGGCGCAGGAGGAACGGGTGTGTGAGGAGGAGCGGGCTTCTTTCGGGGCGCCTCGGAGAACAGCGCCGCCATCATGAGCTATTCAGGTGAGAGGCTTGAAGGGAGGGGGGGGGAGATTCCAGAAAGGGGGCGGGGGCCTCCTTCTGTGGGAGGCGAGGCACGGTCGCGCCTCTCTATTTCCCTCTCCCACCCAGATAGGGCCGGGGGGGGGGGGGGGGAGAAGGACCATCTTCTTTCATTCCCAAGAGGGGGGGGGGGGGTTGTCCAGCGGCGTTTCAGGCCATTATCTCTTCGGATGGTTTTCCCTCCGCCCCGCCCCCTCGGCCTCATTGGCGTCTCCCAAAGGAGAGAAAGCGGCGCGCGCAGGGGGGGGGGGGGGGGGAGGAAGGGAATGCGCCCCCCCTTCCCTCGCGCAGGAGGAGGAGGAGAAGGGCGCCTGGCCTGCCTTTGCGGGAGCGCCCCGCCCCTTCCTGGGCCTGCGAGCTGATACAAGCGGGAGGGACGGCGGTGCAGGGGAAGCCCTTGGGCTCCTGTCTTTTGTAGCCCTTGGGCCCGCCCCCTAGGCCCCCGGCGGGGATGCAGGAGGGAGGGAGCCAGGCCCACGCTCCCCCCCCGGAAATGGATTAGAGCAGGCCTGGGCAAACTTGGGCCCTCCAGGTGTTGTGGACTTCAACTCCCACCATTCCTAACAGCCTCAGGCCCCTTCCTTTTCCCCCTCAGCCGCTTAAAGGAAAGGGCCTGAGGTGATATGTGAGTAATGGTGGGAGTTGAAGTCCAAAATTTATTTATTTAGCAGTTTTGTATACCGGTCTTCTCACCTCCATCGAGGGACTCAGGCCGGTTTCCAACATCAATATTACAAACAATCATTAAAAAAATTGTATTCCAAATTACTAAAACATTAAAAAGCAAAATACAGTCAAATAATTACAATGGTCAGTCGTCATCATAAAATCATTGTTCGTCGACATCCACCCATATCACAAGAACTTGACTCATTCTTCGAATGCCAGTTTCCAGAGCCAAGTTTTCACCTGTTTTCTGAACATCAAGATAAAGGGGGCAGTTCTGATCTCCAGTGGAAGGGAGTTCCAGAGTTGAGGGGCCACCACCGAGAAGGCCCTGTCTCTCGTCCCCACCAGACGCGCTTGTGAGGCCGGTGGGACCGAGAGCAGGGCCCCTCCAGACGATGTTAGCAATCTTGATGGTTCATAGGGGAGAATACGTTTGGACAGGTAAACCAGGCCGGAGTCGTTTAGGGCTTTATAGGTTAACACCAGCACTTTGAATTGTGCTCGGAAGCTAACTGGCAACCAGTGGAGCTGGCGCAACAGAGGAGTAGTATGCTCCCTGTACCCCGCTCTTGTTAGCAGTCTGGCTGCCGCACGTTGGACTAGTTGAAGCTTCTGGGCAGTCTTTAGAGGCAACCCCACGTAGAGAGCCTTGCAGTAATCTAAACGGGATGTAACCAAAGCGTGGACCACCGTGGCCAAGTCAGACTTCCCAAGGTACGGGCGCAGCTGGCGCACAAGTTTTAATTGTGCAAAAGCTCCCCTGACCACCGCTGAAACCTGGGGCTCCAGGCTCAGCGATGAGTCCAGGATCACTCCCAAGCTGCAAACCTGCGCCTTCAAAACACCTGGAGGGCCCAAGTTTACCCACACCTGGGTTAGATATACATATACACATACATAACAGTATACAGTACACGCACAGGAAACCTCTATCTGTGTGCACTCACTTATATAGAGACACACAAATAAATAATATCAATTCGTACATTTGAATAGCTCTTAAAAGGAATACTGAAGTCCAAAATTGTCTTGAGAATGAGACCTTGGCTTTCTGATTATTCTGTGTAAACACACATATATCTTCATAGATAGATAGATATAAAGACAGGCACATACATTCATACGGTTTGAGCATTTATTTTATTTATTTATCACACATCCCGCCCATCTCAACCCAAAAGGGAGCTCAGGGTGGCCTTACAAAGGCAATATTTTGATGCCATGTGTGTACAGATCATCGATAAATAAACAACACTTTAAAACATTGAAAACCAACCAATTAAAAACATCATATTAAACAACAATTTAACATCTCAAGTATCTCTTATTTGGGATGCCAAAATTCAAAATTGTCCATATGTTTGACTGAGAGCATGACACCTTTGCTTCCTGGTAATTCCATGGACACAAACTTTGTTCCATATGCATATTTATTAAAATATGATATACCCAGGGGCGGCTCAACCCATTACGCAAAGTAAGCATTTGCAGTATAGTAGATTTTGCCCAGGGGCACTCTTGAGGCGCTCTTGGGGGAAAATAGACCTTCACATATGCGAGTTGTAGTTACTGGGATGTATAGTTGACCTACAATCAAAGAGCATTCTGAATTCCACCAATGATGGAATTGAACCAAATATGGCACACAGAACTCCCACGACAAACAGAAAATATATATCAGTGATTGGTTGGGGGGGGCGCAAAATACTGCTTGCTTACCGTTGAAAATTACCTGGGCCGCCTCTGGATATACCATTGCCTCTTAAGTGCTCTCTCTCACACACACTCTCTATATATAGCATATATGACACGTAAATCAATTTCACGTTTAGACTTGCCATCTCTTAAGGGCTCTTCCAGGCAGGCCCAATATCCCAGGATCTGATCCCAGGTTTTCTGTTTATTCCAGATAATAATAATAACTTTATTTTTATACCCCACCACTATCTCCCCAAAGCAGTTTACATGTGGGACAGTTGTCCATAGAAACATAAAAGCAAAGCAGTCCATAAAATAGGAGCATCATAAAATACAACAACCAAAATAAAAACACATTAAACATGGCAAAATAAAATGGAGTGCATTGGAACTCCTATCAGACCACATTCAAAATAACCCAATAACTGGATTTCTCAGGTGGACCATGTCAAGCTATGTAAGGACTGGGCAGGGATTGTGCAAATAGCAAACCATAGGGCCAGAGCAGTGGATGAAGTGCAAAACAGAGTACTTCTAATTGCCTAGGGACTGCAAATATATGGCTAGGGACTGATTGTTTTCAAAAGCTAGCAATTATCTGGCAGTGGGATATAATCCAGTTTAACCTGGTATCAGATCCTGGGATATAGAGCCTTTCTGGAAGGGCCCTAAGATATCTCATTATGTGTATGCCAATACAGGTATTTCAAAATGCTAAAAACACTTATGTTCCCAAGCATTTAACATACAATCAATTTGTATATGTGTGGTTGGATAAACACACATACATCCACTAAAATCAGTAGGGCATAAGTAATAAAATTAAGTGCTGTTGATGTCAACAAATCTTCAGAGAGGATCCTGACTGAATGGTAGGCAAATTCCCCTGAAACTGCTTAAATTGTTTCATTCTTTTAGGATGCAAACTGCTTGTGCATACACCTTGTTTTGGTGTTTCTCAAACTCTGTTCATCATTCATTATCAGTGCTGTTCCTGGATCTTTGGAGATGTGGTTCCCAACCTGTGGTCCGTCCATGGACCACCAGTGGTCTGCAAGGATAAGAAAAAGTTGGGAACCACTGCTTTAGAATGTTATCAGTTACTCTTCTACTATAACTGAATGCAGATATGATTAAATGTTCAATCTCTGTTTTTAAACTTCACAGAAAGAAGTTGCACTTGAATAGTTTACATCCACTCAGAAGTAAAACAATATGCCTACTGTAGTAGTTTTTTTTCAGTCTTGTGTGTATCATTGCCTCTGCGTAGGTGCTACAAAGTCATTTTCAGTATTTTCTAACCCAGACTTTGGTTATATTTTAACTTCATTCATGTAAGATCAATGGCAGGGACAAATAAGTGTACACTAGGAAAATGATAGAAGAAGGAAACATTATTGCAAAAATACATAAAGACAATTTTATGCACCTTCCCTCTGCATATAGAAATGTTGGCAGATTTTTATGTAGACTTTAAAAAAGATAATTGATGATGTAATGCGAAAATACAAGTGTGTACCTAAAACATTAAATGTTGTACAAAGCAAAACACGTGTCCATCCTTAACAGAAATGGTAATTTTACACAATTTTGGCCCTTTATCTTTTTCATGAAGAGCTTTTTTTCTTCCATTATGTCTGGTTGTTGAAGGAGATGACTTCTTACAAATTTGTTAGAAGATTTAAATGGCAAATTAACCTGATTGTTATCTTGTGGGAAGCGGTGATTACTTTGATAGAAGCAGTGATTACTTTGAATGAAGACTTGCTTGCCTTGGGACCTATTGTTATGATTAGAAGTTCAAAGAAAAGTATTTATGTCCTTGAGTATGAAAGAAGTCCTGTTGAGTAACACTAGCTATTTTTATGTGCTGGAAATAGAATGCAGTTGTGTTTACTGTGTATTGGTTTGAGTATGATACTTACATGAGAAAATAAGGTTAATATTGGTGAGGTAGGGGAAGGTTCATCATGGCAGTTTACTTATTCTGAATCTGATTTTATTTCAAAGAGAAATCTGCTTTAACCTGAGCAGATAATTTTCATTTGTTGCAATACCTATGCATTTCTGGTGAAACTGTCCCAGTCAATATCTGCATTATCTACAAATCCATCCAGTAATTTGTGTTGTCTTGCAGTAACATAAAAATGTAGATAATACTAATCAGATTCCCAAGAATTCATTTTTTTTCACATTAGTTACAAAACATTATTCAGAGGGCAATTTTTTTTTTAAAAAAAGAACGCATTACTGTTTTATTTACAGCATATTGCAGATGTATTTAATAGCACGCAACTTTTTTCTGGTACCTGATTGATGCCAGATTAGAGATTTAGCTAATTTTCTGGGTAAAGACTTTAATACTGTATTTCTCTTAAACAGCGGGAAGCTGAGGCAGTGTTTAAATAATCATACAAAAATGGAAGTTAGGGATAGGGTTAAAGCAAGAGGTGTTATTACTCTGGAGTGACTCCTCCATTTTTTCCAAACAAAATCTGAAACTCTGAGGAGATACTGGGGGGAGGTTCTTATATAAGAAATTGTCTCAATTTAGAAATCCATGATTTTACTCAGTAAAAATCTATAATGTGAAGGCTTTCTGTAAAACAGTTACAAAACTATAAATCTTGTATCCACTGTTGCCAGTTTCTTTCACATTGATGTCCTTATACAGTATATCTGTAGGGCTACAATTGTTTTAACATACAGCTAAATGAATATGGTTGTACTGCATTGAGCTAATACAGACATATGTGGTGCTGAGTAGCAAGTTGTAGTAATACTGTGTCATTCTGAAATTATTGTTGTTCAAATAATACTCCAAACATTGTTTAGATTCAAAATGAAGAAAGTACAACTTGTGGGCTCAGTGTACCCCAAGGTCAGGTTTTAGGTTTCCAGCCCCTCATCCCGTCGAAAACAAATGAAAAATAATCTACAAAAGGAGTGTGTGGAGGTTGCCAGGTCCCCTGCAACCATTGAAAGTCTTTATTTACCTTGAAGGTAAACCTGTACTTCCAGTTTAATTCCTGATTAAATAAAGCCTTCTCCAAGACCTACAAACATCATGAATTTCCTCCATTGAACACCTCAATTCAAAGAGTGAGTGTGATGGGGGCTAGTGTATATTGGCAGTTGCTTATCCTTGTCTTAGATCAGGATGAATAGAAGATTAAATTAACCCTCCAGAAGATTTTGAAAGGCCACATCCCACTGCTCATACTGAAAAAACATGAGTGGGTATAGTGGGACTCCACACATAGTGAAAATGCCTCCCCCACCAGAGATAATGTTTGACCCCTGAGGGATTGTATATGGTAATGGGCCATACTCGCCCACCCCTGTCTTAGGTGGTAAAAAAATAGCAGTTTGCGGTTTGTTTATACAGCTTTGATTGTATATGACAATGGCGTGTATTCTACTTGGACTGATGTCCTGTTCACACTTTCCTTAGACCCCTTCATACATTTCCTCATGTTGTAGTGACCCCCAACTATAACATTATTTTCATTGCTACTTCATAACTATAATTGTGCTACTGGATCATAATGTAAATGTCTGATATGCAGGATGTATGTTCACTCACTGGACCAAATTTGGCAAAAATACCCAATACACTCAAATTTGAATATTGATGAGGTTGGGGGGGGGGCTGTTGATTTTGTCATTTGGGAGTTGTAGTTGCTGGGATTTATAGTTCACCTACAATCAAAGAGCATTCTGAACTCCACCAATGATGAAATTGAACCTATTTGTTTTTCTTATGTCATACTGATATATCTAAATAGAGGAGGGACAGAGCTTTTTCAGAATTAAGCAACAGATCTTCCTATTCCTCTTTGGATGACTCCTCTTCCAAGTCTTTTGCCTGATCTTTGAGCAAATGTTGCAAGAAATGCTGGAAACAAATATGCTTTTTGCCACCATTGTTCCATGGACAAGTCTGCAACCGCTCATGGAGCCAAGTGAGCAAAAACAGCCCTTAGGACTCCAGTGCCTCTGGAAAAATACTTCTGCCTATTCTTTTAAATTTTGTTTTGCACATTTCCAAAGACATATCTAAAACAAAGTGAAAGCACCATGAAGGTAAAAAGGGGGGAAAGAGAAAATGGCAGAAAGATTAAAGTGACTTCCCATTTCCTTTTCAGTAGTTATTTAAACATATAATCTGTCTATCTGTCTATCTATAACAGTGGTTCTCAACCTGGGATCACAAGATGTTTTGGGCTACAACTCCCAGAAATCCCAGCCAGTTTAACAGCTGTTAGGATTTCTGGGAGTTGAAGGCCAAAAACATCTGGGGACCCCAGGTTGAGAACCACTGATCTATAATCTATTAGTTCCTATCATTTATAAATTCTCTCCACTAGTGATCAAAAAATAAAAAAATTAAAAACATAGTTGTCTTCTATAAAGAGTCAATAAAGGGTTAGTAATTTTATGAAATCATAATATTAGCCTTAATATTTCTCTATTAACATGCATTAGAGCATCTAGCTCTCAATGTCCATTTTTACAAGCAGTCTGTTGTAATAAATATCTCAGATAGTAAGTTTTCTTTTTAAATAAGGCAACCCTCCCAACTTGTTTTAACTTAGCTATACATTTTCTCAAGAGCCCCCTGGTGGCTCAGTGGGTTAAACCGCTATGCTGCTGAACTTGCCGACCAAAAGGTTGGTGGTTCAAATCCAGGGAGCAAGGTAAGCTCCCACTGTTAGGCCCAGCTTCTGCCAACTTAGCAGTTCGAAAACATGCAAATGTGAGTAGATCAATAGATACCACTTCTGCGGGAAGGTAACGGCACTCCATGCAGTCATACTGACCGCATGACCTTGGAGGTGTCTATGGACAACGCCGGCTCTTCGGCTTAGAAATGGAGATGAGCACCACCCCCACCCCCAGAGTCAGGCACAACTAGATTTAATGTCAGGGGAACCCTTTACCTTATACATTTTGTCAGTATCTACTGTTCTAGCATAGCTATCAACCAGATTTTTTTAAAGGTATCATTGATCTCTTTTCTTATATATTGATCTGACTTATAGCTAACTTGTCTCTCATATACCATATATTTATATCTAACATGTTTTTAAACCATCTTTTAAAACTGGTTATATTTTTAAAAAAATCATTGTATTAGTATTTCCTGTTCATTAATGTTCTGTCTCGTATTAGATGTCATATATGTTATCTTCGAAAGAGACGTGGCCAGTCATTTTAATTTATTTCTTATAAATATATAAATCTCAAGTGAATTTTTTTCTCATATTTCAGCCACTGTTAAAAATACTTTGGATAAATAGATTATCCCATAGTCCATGACTATCCAGATTTTGGATAGTCTGTGCACTTTCATGTCTTCTTTAATTGCATGGGCAAAATGCTCCACTTCTCCATTCTTTCTCCTTTTGTGTATGTGAAAGCACTGATGGTGCTTGCTGTGAGGCCGCCCTGAGTCCCCTTCAGAGGTGAGAAGGGCGGATTATAAATATAGGAAATAAATAAATAAATAAATAAATAAATAAATAAATAAATAAAATTGTTATTTCTCTAACTTCTAAATGCATCATTTTATCTCTGATGTAAAACCTTTGATCTTGATTACTTTTCCAGAAATATTTTCTTCTTTTTAATATGAAATGTTAATCTCATCAGGTTGCTCAATTTTCCCCCCAAACTATCATACTGTTCATCTTTTTCTGAATATATTGAACCAGTCCATCTCAAATTCTTCCTTCTGACTGAAAACTGCAATTGTATATGTCTCTGTTTCTTCCCAAGCTCCCCTCTAACTTCCCTTTATCAGCATCTGATTGGTCAGCTCTCCCAACAGTCACCCCTTTCTATAGCTCTTCAAACATTTCTTGATCTTCTGAACAATCCTCCTACAAGTAAGCCTCATTTGCTTACCTAAGTGTTGTCATCTTTAATATCCTGCACATCAGTAAAGAAGTTGATTCCATATATGCTTCCTTTAAGCATTGTAGCAATTCCAGGTTGCAGCTTTACCTGCTATTTTGTTTGGCTAACAAGTACAATGTATCCCTTGATCAAAAACAATGTCTGTTCCCATGAAATCTCTCAGCTTTTAAAATAAACCTTCTATTTCCACCAAAAAGAATAACATGTTTCAAACTTCATGATTTAAAACTAGCCCTTTCAATCTATTTTCTTAGTTCTTGGTCACTATGTTAATGCTGTCATGCAGAATCAAAAATCCTTTGAATTATAATTGGTAAAATTTAAGTAAGAATTACTGTATACCTTTGCTCTGGTGGCTCTCCCATGAAGGCCACTTCAAAGAATGAGGATCCTATTAATGTATTTTCTTTCGATGACTTCTTTTTAGCTCTCACAGACCTTGCTTTGTTTTTATCACAGCAAGTCTCAGTATTGGATTTCTGTGTAAGATTCCAACTTGACACTATCTCGTGAGTCAAGTGATGTCCATGATCGTCTGTCTTAAACTCACAGTTTGGATGATAAAGTAGCAGTCAATAATCTGGCTAGAATATCAATAGGGTCACCTAACATAAAGATGACAATGCAAAAATAACTTAGGTTACTCATGGAAGAACAAAGAAAGAGTCCTTGAGGTGTACAGATAGCCTCGCTTCTTGATGTTTCTTCAGTTTGGCTGTCAGGGAGGATGCTGTCACACTCGTATCTTTTATTATAAACTTGACAAATTAACTGTGATTAGAGCTATGTTTACTTGGGTTATTTTAGCATGTTATGTAAAACTCAGATTCTCCCAAAGTTTGAATGCTTCTTTTGGACAGTCCACTCTTATTGAGAATGAAAAACTGACTTTTTCTGGATGGTTAATGGTGGAACAAACAGTTCTTACAATTCATGTTAGTTTTGCACTGCCTCATTTTTAAAGTTAGGAACTCCTCAGACTTCCTCCTCATTCTTTTCTGTTTCTTCTCTCACTATCTTCACTGTTTTCTTTGATTAATTGGGTGTTTGTTTTTAGTTAAAGCTGGATTCAAGTCTTGTAACTAACTCCTTTTATGGGACATGCTTTTTTCGGCCTTGGCTTTCAAAGGGAGATATTAACCCTTCGTGGTAAGTTCAGGTCTCCATTTCTACATCCTGTTGTTTAGCAGAAAAAAAAACATTGAAATGATTCTGCTGAATAACATTTTCTTTTGATTGTTTCTGGAATGTGTTTATAACTAGTTTTGATGCCAGTATGTATTTTCTCTTTAGGCTATGGAAACTGGAATTCCGGTACAAATAGAGGCAAGTACCATTAAATCTTACCAAAGTGCTTTATGGTTACAACTAAATGATATATATGTGGCCTGAGATATCATATTTTTCACTGGTTCCTTGTATTTTTGCATCATATTTATTTTTGCTCTTCATGTGCCTTTTCTTTGTTTAGTACAGGCAGCAAAACCTGCCCCTTTTTTTCAGTAATTGCTACTGCAAATACTTTCTTGTGACAGATCTTTGACAATATGCAGAAACAATTAGAGGAGTTCATTTCTTTTTATTTCCTGTGCATTGTCTGAAAGGTTGCTAGAGCAAGTTTTAAAAATATATATAGTAAGACCCCCTATATACATGGTTTCACTTAACCATGCCTGGAGAAAATGGTTTCTCTGGGCTTTTGTTACGTCCTCCATTGTGATTCTGTGGTTTGTTTCCATCAGAAGTTACAATATAGTTGTACTGAAGGACCTAGATCTCTTTACTCAGAATTCTCCTAATTACTTTAGTGGTACTTACAGGAAAGTCTGCATAGAATTACAACCACATCCTGTTCACTTAACTGACTATTCTCCAAATAAACGTATAAAGATAAATCATGTCCCATGGACTTATGAGTGGTTGTGCCATGTTGTGCCATGGGAATCCACTCTCATGTATGCTCATGTCACAGTAAACCTTGTAGTTTCCAAGTAACCATGCATAGATTTATACTGTGTGAATTATGGTTATATTTCTTGTGCTTCCTTGTTGAAATTGGCACAACATTTCTTATTCAGAATTCCAGAAGCAGAAATGTTCTGAAATCCAAAACTTGTCCACATGTGTGGCTCGAACAGTGACACCTTTGTTTTCTGATAGTTTGGTGTGCATAAACTTCATTCCATGCACAAAATTATTTAAAATATTGAATACCTACCTAAACACTTGATAATGCCACTGATAATGCCAAACTATGTAATAGTTTGAGCTGTTTTCTTGATTCTTCATAGCCATTTAGTCAAGCCACAGTAGAGGCAAGTAATACATTTATATCGTTGTTGTTATTGTTATTATCTGGATAAGTGATGTAATGGTTTTTCTGCTTCTAAATTCTTTGTCTTGTTCTAAGATTGGATCAGAAATGAGACTGAATTGTCATAATTCTAGGCAGTGCTGATGTTTTGGCTGTTCCATTTGGGTTAAAAATGAGAGCTAGTATCAGCAGGAAATCTTCTAGATGCTTTTGGAATATAAATAAATAAAGGGGGGTTAATACTAAAATTTTAGATTGCTGAGAGATACAGAAAAAGTTAGTCCCATATATTTTATTGTTAGCCACACCTGCTGTACCTTTAAGAGAGAATTATCATGGTGGAGATGGAGAATGAATTATTCCTATCCTTTAGAAAACAACTCAAAACATGGTTGTGGGACCAAGAGTTTGAACAATAGATGTAGCAATCAAGATTGAGACTAATTAGGTGACTTGACAATGGCTTGACCTGGACTATGATTTGAATTTTCGTGATTTTAAATGAATGTTTAATAATTAATGTATTACCGCATTGTTTGATGGCATCAAATGGTTGCCTGCTGTAAGCTGCCCTGAGTCCCTCCTTGGGGGTGAGAAGGACAGAATACAAATATTTTAAATAAATAAATAAACAGCCTTGCATTAGATGCTGATGTATGACAATCTCTACCTAATGAAAAAACATGTCTGCTTTATATTTCAGGTTACGAGGACTATAATTATGGATATGGATACAATCAGGATAACTCTGGCAATTATGGGTATGGTATGGCCACTTCAAACTCTTGGGAAATGGCTTATTCAGATACAGATTATAACGCATCCACTGGCACCAGTGCTGATGATGTAATAGGAAAATTTAACCCACGCTTAGATATGGTATCTCATCTAGAAACTGACACGATGCAAAGAGGACATTATGGCTCAGGTGGAGACAGGTGAGTGTAGAGACAAAGGTGAATAGGTTTAGTAATAGTCATAGACCAGGCTGCTTTCTGTTTCTGAAAGGTTTGTTGGCCAAATATTGTACTGTTGTCTAAGAAGTGCTTCTTTTGATCTCTGAATAATAGAGTAATGGGGAGGGACTAGAATGAGCAAGGTGTATTTTTTGTATTTGGGCTTTACAAATAAGGTGCTCATGTATACCTTTGACTTCGGAATGCTTTGAGTTAGGAATGTATTTTTTGAATTTTAGTGTTTGAAGCAAAAGTTTTAACATATTTGTACATCATGCAAATATAACAATAACCCAAAGTGTGTGCTTCAGAATCCCATTGAAATTCATGGGACAAGTGCTTTTTTGGTCACAATAATTTTAATTCTCTGAATTTTGCCCCTGAAAACAGAGACAAAAATGAATAAACAGGGAATTCTGTAGATTGTTTTTTTTAGTGTATCTACCATCTTCCAACATTATTAATAAAATCTTCAAGCTGAAGTTTGCAAATAAGGAATCCACATTTGGATTTTTAAAAAAAATTTTTTGCTGTCAAACTGGATTCATGGTATAATAAAGATATTAAAAAGAAGAAAAATAATTGCTTCAAATTTGACATTCAAATTTTAAAAATACTTATTCTTTGGTCAAATTTATACTTAATTTTTTGGAATTGGCATATTTATAAATTGGAATAAATTAGTTTTGTAGGTCTGCTTCTCTAGGCTGGTAAATTAGTCATTGCCATTCAATAGGATGTTTTTTAAATTTTGTTTTGATATATTTCTACTTGTTTTTTAGTTTGTCAGAAATGATCACTTTCCGTATATACTCTTTCATGTAGGAATTTGCTTGTTTTGCAGAATTCCATATAGTTTTGTTGAATGAAGGCATAATACTTCTAACTGAAGTAACTAAAATACATAGCATTCTGTATTGCTTTCCTGTTGCACTGACACAGTTTATATCCTAACCGGAGCATTTTAATATTTCAAAATTACTGCTCAATAGATGTTTGTCTGCATTGTGTCATTTCTTAATTTATGTCACTGTCATAAAAATAGAAGCTAAAAGAGACAACAGAAATATGTTAAACAGAAATATGTTAAAAATGGACGCAATGTTGTCCTCATTCAAATGGTATATATTTCTTTTCAAAAATGGAATTGTTGTAGACACTTTTTGCCATAGTTGGATGGAAAGGATATTTCCATTTTAGGATTTAGATCTCACCCGCTTGAAGAGTTTTTAAGTATATAAGGTTTATTCTTCTCCAGATGGGAAATGCTCCCCCGAGATATTCGGTATGTTAAAGCTGCAGTGAAATGGATTTCTGAATAAACATGCCCTTCCCAGATGTCAGTTTTGCCATACTGGATGGATATTAACCTAGCACTGTTCAGTTTTGCTTCAGTTATGTATAGCGAACCTAGATAAGCAGAGGTAGCTAAAAAATACAACGCAAAGCTGGAATTCTGTTTTATAATATTGGAAGATACTGTTACTAAAGTATTGTTTCATAAATTGCTGTGAGGATTGTGTGATTTGTAGATAGGATAAATGAGTTTTCCCTGATTATTTTTAGTGTTAAATTTTCTGTTCTCAGTTTTGAAGTCTCCTCCTCAGCCATTGTTTCCTTTTAGTGTCCTTGCTTTCAAATCTTTGAATCAAAGCTTGACAGTTGAATAGTGCACTTATATCATGTGCAGCGTGACTTTGTTTTGGTCTGTCATGGCAGCTAAAGCAGCATGCTGTCAGGAGCGACCTGAACTTGGCTTTAAAGTGTGTTCTTTCTGTCATAGAACCTAACTTACCACTCATTTTTATGACAATAGGTTGCACAATGGGTTAAACCCTTGTGCTGGCAGGACTGTTGATCGACAGTTGCTGGTTCGAATCCGGGGAGTGGTGTGAGCTCCCATCTCAGCTCTAGCTTCCCATGCGGGGACATGAGAGAAGTCTCCTACAGGATGGTAAAAACATCAAAACATCCAGTTGTCCCCTGGGCAATGTCCCTGCAGATGGCCAGTTCCCTCACACCAATAGCAACTTGCAGTTTCGCAAGTCGCTCCTGACACAAAAAGAAAAAAAAGTAACGTTTCTTTGCTATTATAAAATTATCCTTTTAGTGGGGTAGGTGTAAGGTAAATTGTCAAAATTGCACATTATAATAGACATAGAACACAGATGGAATTGTTCACATACTTTCCTTCTCTATCATAATAGCAGTAGGTAAAACAACCTCTGCCTTTTTTCAAATAATTGAGGAGAACTAATCTTGTAAAGTTGTACTTCAGAACTTCTGTTTAATTTAGCTGAATATCAAAGGGGACTGGTGTAGAAGCAAGTAATAGATAAAATGTAAGAATGTTTGGTAATACCCCAGATTTAAAGCTGTTGGGTAGCCTAATTAGAGTGCTATGTTTTTCCCCCCTTGCTCTGTGCTCCCCTTAGTGATGATCCTCCCATTGCCCTATCTTCCTGCAGCATTATACAAAGGAAGGCTCATGAGTTCAAATCTCAGCTGAACTTTGTTTCGATCTAAGTGGATCTAGAACTGTTCTGGAATGAATTTTTATTTCTTGCCTGATGCTTTCACGCAGTTCTCTATATGCTACTGACAAGGTTCCTTGCTTACTGTGCAACTTTGCAGGTATGATACATATGAGTCCTATGACTCAAGGTCATCAATGAATGACCGTGATCTGTATAGATCCGGCTATGATTACAGTGAGGCTGAACATGACACCGACAATGCCTATGAAGGCCACTACGACAACTCCTATGGGAACCGCAGGGACCAGTACCACAACCGAGCACGTGACAACTTTGGCCACCGGGGTCAGAACTGGACCAGAGATGGGCGAAATAACAGACCCATGGCATCTGCATATTCTGGACGAATGGGTGGACAGTGGAATGAACCGCCCGGGCCAATGGGAGGACGGGGCTATGGCCCCAATAGGCCCCCGCCTCTTTTCTCCCACAAAGTATTCCCTGAATACAACATGTACCAGGGAATGCGAGGTTTCTCTGGCAACTTGCGCTTTGGAGGTGGCAACATGAAACAACGAATGAGGAGAAACTGGAAAATGTGGGATGCAGATTTTAAAGTAAGTACCCCCATGTAATCTTCCGTCCCCTATTTTCGGTCTTATTTTAAAGGGCAGCCGTCAGCAAGAGGCATTGCCCAGAGCCTGTTGCAGAAGATTCTCTTTTGTAACTTCGTTTACTTTTTCAGTTTCTGACATTTGTCTGACACTTTTGTTTTAAGGGTTTTTTTAAAAGGTAAAGTTAATAAGCAGTATGTTGCAATAGCATCAGAAGGATTGATAGAAACACCTTAGTCATAACTAAGAAATGTGAGCTGGTATTGTCTGGGGAAGTTTTGTATGAAGTAGATCAAGAGAGCAGGACTGATCCTGATGTATGAAAAGTATGTAGAAAACTTAGAATGTGGCTTAATGTACCTGGTTGCTGCTATATTGTGCTTTGGGTTAAATATATGCTTGTCTGTCTCTCCATAGAAAAAAAGAATAAAGAATGAGCCAACAGGGAATAAGCGAAAACAGGGCAACAATTCTGATGAACCTGACAGCAAGGCAGCCAAAACGGATGGCTCTGATAACTCAGATTCTGATAATGGTGAGAGCATTCTAATGAAGTTTCTCCAGAGAGGGTGGGAAGAGAAAATTGTCTTCTATACACAGTAGCTTTCATTTTTTAGTAATAAAACAACAGTTGATTAATTTTTCAGTTGTTTTTAATTATGTATAGTCACCTGATACATTGTTCTTTTCAGAAGAGAGTCCTGAAGGAGAAGCTGCTGAAAAGGGGTCTAAAAATGTGAGTCTCAATTTAATAATGCAAACTGTTTTAATGTTTGTTATAATGTTTTTATATTATTTTTATAATATGTATATTTATTCCTTTTCTGTTGTTGGCACTGCTGTGCTGGTTGGTAGCTGCCCTGAGTCCCTCTGTGGAGGTTGAGATAGGACAGGATACAAATGCCCTAAAATAAATAAATAATTTTCCCTGCTTCATAAAAGATAGGAACAAGGGTTGGAAAGAAAATTGTTACTTGGTCCTTTGTCAGGTGGGTCTATATATAGTGTGATCAGGTATAAATGGATATTTAAAAGACAAAGCTGGTTTAACATATTTTGGTGGACAGTTGCATCCTGCATCTCCCACTAAGAAAAAAGAATCATAACAAGATTGTTATTACTTTCTTGTCCTTTAATGGTTCTTAATTTACTACCTGGGGCAGCTGCTTCAAAATATGACAGCTTACATGTTGTTGTTGTTGTCGTCGTCGTCATCATCATCGTCGTTATTCCTCCCTTTCCCCTTTTAATCAAGATCATTAAAAACAATGTAATTTAAAATATTTTAGATGCATAAATGGACATACTAGAACATATAACTATTTGATTCAGCTAATTGAAAGGATGCATGTAGTACAAAATAAAATACCTTCCAAGCAATTACTGGTGAACTGGCTGGGATTTCTGGGAGTTGTAGGCCAAAAACATCTGGGGACCCCAGGTTGAGAACCACTATTATATTTTCAGTGAGATACAGTCCTGCCCTTCATTATTTCTTACTCATTTTTCCTTGTGGATTAAAATTCTGCTTTGGAAGGATTCCCAGTTCTCTAGAAGTGATACTGAGGAGGAGGGATTATTATTATTATTATTATTATTATTATTATTATTATTATTTGTGGTATTTGTATACCGCCCTTCTCAACCCCAAATGGGGCTCAGGGCGGTTCACAGCAACAATTCAATGCCATCAATAAAAAACAGTGTAAAACATTAAAATTGGCCCTCCCCTGATAAAGCATTAGACATTATTAAGCACATCACATAAAGTAACATCACATATCACACAAAGACATAGCCGTTGTCTGTAAACAGTCCTGGGTCATTGCACTTTCAACTTTCCCTTTAAATATTCTTATGATGGGCCGAATGCTTGGTTCCACAGCCACGACTTTAACTGTCTCCTAAAGGTCAGGAGGGAGGAGGCCGACCTGATCTCACTAGGGAGAGATCTTCCTCTTTTCAGATTTTCTGGTGGTATTTTATTGTTAGTACAGGAAACTACTTGTATTTTGGACAGAATTATAGCAACTGACTTTTTAGTGGTTCACCTTCTGGTGAATGTGACATTAATGGTTTGCTAATAATGCCAAAGGTCTTGAACCTGAAGACTGACTCGAGCAGTGAGAGAGTGTGAATACAATAAATATTTACTGTGATGCTAACCTGTTGGAATATCTAGTAAAAAGATAGCTGATGGAGCTATCATGGTGGTGTGGAGCTTTTGTTACCCACATCTTTGAAGATTGGCAGTCGTAGATATGCATAGCAGTAACACTTGGTTGATGTGGTGTTTGTCTTCACAAATACAAAAAGGAACCCTTAAGTAATGTTGATAGGGGGAGGGCAGAGAGGGACAGTAGTCCAGCAGAATATGGGACCGAAAACAAAAGCAATGGATCCTTTTAGTACTCAAATAAAGTGACAAGATTACTCAGATTCTTTGTAGATCATATTGGCACCTGTGCATTGTGAATTATCAGAATTAAACAGTTTCACCCTGCTCTGCCATGTATATATCAGGTGCCATCATGCAATCTGTTCTTCTGATTTTGTGGCATTAATAATAAATATTAAGCTCCTATCCTATAAATAAAGGGCAGGAATGACAGATTGTGTTGGTAGAGACACAAGTTCTTAATGATATCATCACATTCTACTATACTGTTAGTAAATGTTAACTTTGTTTTGCTGTGTTGAATATACTGTATCGGTTGCACACATACTGTATGGACATGGTTTTTTGTGAAAGCCCCAAATCATTCTGTAGACAGCAACACCTCCTGACTTTTTATCTATTTATTTAAAAATAAATAATGCTTAGCACCAAACATTTTACATAAATATACTTTAATAAAATATATAGACAATATACAAAGTATTAGATTTTATGTGGTTAGTGAAATACCATAGATATTAGATATTAGACACAGAAGGTTTTCATAAGTTAACATATTTCTAAAATACACCTAAACTAAAAGTAAGCTTAACAGTAAGAATATGTTGAATTTCTAATACTTAAAAATGATTTTTCAATGACAAAGCTTTATTTCAGAAGTGGTGTAATATTGGCTGTAAGTGGTGTAATATTGGCTGTAAGCTTTATGCTTCAGTGTTCTTAATAATAATAATAATAATAATAATAATAATAATAATTATTATTATTATTATTATTATTATTATTATTTCTTACCCACCTCTCCTCACGGCTCGAGGCAAGTTACAACATTGCTAAAACAGATAATCAAAACAATAATCATTTAAAAGCACTCCATAGAATACACATATTAAAATAAATTTCCATAAAATACATATTAAAATACACAAAACAAAAATTAGACATAGAACGGAAGTTTAAAATTCATCATTAAAACTGTCTGGGTTAATTATGTTATAGGAGGGAGAAGGAGAAGGTGGTGAAGATGAAGAAAGGAAAGGAGACTCTGAAAAAGGCAAGTCTAAATCTCGATGTGTTCTGTCTTCTTAGCAAAGAACTTATCTTTTTTTCATGGGTATCTGTAGATTGCTGCCAGGTCTGTATTGTAATCTAAGCTCATATTATAAAAATTGGTGTTCTGCTTGTTTCTGAGAAGATAACTTTTTGTTCTTCCAAAATTAATGTTTTCTTGAGAAGCCATAGTTGTTCCACTACCTATATGTTTATTTTCCAGCATTTATTTTCCAACAGTTGTTATTCCAACTATACATCAGGAAACTTTGCCACCCTATACAGTATAAGGCATGACTTATCTAAGATATTGAGACTCAGAGTCTAGGGTCTACTTAGGTAAAATCTCTCAGTAATTATCTATTTAATCTGATTATTTATGACATATAGGAGCTCTGACAATTCAAGAAGAGATCAGTCAGATCAAGCGCAAATTGCAAGCTGGGAAGAAAACTCAGGAGAGGCAAAGGAAAAGATACCGTGATCGTATGGTAGAAAGGTAAGCCTCTTCCCTGGCTGACTGAGTGGCGCACTAGTAGATAGGCTCCGGGATTGTGGTTCACATGTGTGTGTGTGTGTGTGTGTGTGTGTTTTTGTTTGTTTTTGTTTTATGATACAATGCTTCCTTATATTTGTATACATTAAAAATTCTCAATTCTTGACAAGTCAGTTGCACTTTTCAAGAAATTATTGAAGGCACTGTGGTTAAAAAAAGAACTGTTCCTCAAAAAGAGAAACAAACTGGTGCTTATTCAGCTCCTCGGTGAATTGTGAACCATTTGGGGAATGACTTGCAGAGCTGGGGCAGGTAATCCCAGTAGTTAAAAACTGTAAATCCTGTGGCTGATCTAAAAAAATATACCAAGAAGAATACTTTTGTATTGTTTGGTAAACACGTGGAATATATTGTGTTTCTGTTCTACTGTGTGTTGTGTGGCTATGTCATCTTGGCTAAAATTATGTGGAACAAAACTCTATATTCAAGTCTTTTCTTTGTCTAATGTGCCCGGACAGGATTCAGTTTGTTTGCTCATTGTGCAAATATCGTACTTTCTACGAGGATGAGATGACCAACCATTTGGAGAGCAAATTTCACCAGGAGCACTTTACTTTTGTTGGAACCAAGCTGCCCCAACAGACAGCCGATTTCCTTCAGGTGACCTTGTTATTTTCTTTCAAAAGTTGCCTTCTAATTTTCTTAAGAGGCCAATGTAAAACATTGTTTTATATTTTCTAGTAACACTTTCTTTGAAATATTTCAAGTGGGCCTCCAAAAAAAGCATGAGAGCACCATCCATAAAATATGGTTCTGCATTGACCTTGCTTGTATTTTTATCATACTACTGACTGCCTTGTATGTTTTTGAAAATAACTGAAAGGGATGGAAAAATCTCATGCATGAACACATGACTTGGAAAGAAAGGATAGGGGCAGAGTTTTGTTTTTGTGGGATCTTAACACACTTTACAATTGTTTATAATTGTATTTTGTGTTCACTAGTATTGCTGAGTATTCATGAGCTTTTCTACAATGTAGGAATATGTTGCTAACAAAACGAAAAAAACAGAAGAGCGCCGTAAAGCAATTGAAGATATTAATGCAGTTATACAACAGATTTATAAAGACCAAGATCTAACGCAGGGTATGTATCATGCTTCTGATCAGTGCAGAGTTGAACATCTCCTAAAGTTCAGCTGTCAAGTGATACATTGCCTTATTTCATGGAGATCTGCAAGTTTCAGCCAGATTCAGTCTGTCTCAGACCAACCTGTCTTTCATTCCCAATATTAATTTAGCCATTCTAAGAACACAGGAACTGAGCCCCACATCTTCAAGGCATGACTTGCAGGAAAAATTGCACAAATTAGATATCAGGAGAGCCATTGAAATATATCTTGGGCACACAGAGCCATACAGAGCCTCCAGGTCTTTCATTGTCTTCTTCTAGATGTCTTTGTTGGGGCTCAAGGTGTCCAAAAGCACCACGAGAAGAAGGGTTAAAGCATGTTTTGCCACCTGTGAACAAGCTGGGAAACCTGTGCCTGGGAGCATCACAGTCCACTCCACTGAGAGCAAGGCCACCTTTGCAGCCTTCTCTGCAGCCCATCTCCTGTTGATACCTGCAGGGCAGCCACATTAAGTTGAACATTGCCATGTAGAACTATTTGTCTCGGCCGAGGCATCCAACTCAGCCCCATGTGGCCCTCTGACAACATCTGGAGTTCCATCTCCAGCAGCCCCCAGCCATTATTACCGAGTTAGCTTGGATATATTCCAATCCAAGGTGTCATCTATGCACTACAGGAAAAAAAGTAGTTGGCATTTAAAGTGTGCAGAGAACAAAATGTCCATTTCACAGCAAGTACAAACTGTTCTGTTTTGCTAAAGGAAGAAAGCTTGAATTCTCTTCGTTCTCCTTGGTGTGTATCAGGAACTTTGTTCTTCTGTTCCATTATAGACTAGTAGCCATGGTAGTGGTATTGTGGGAACCTTAAGCAAGCTGTGGTGATTCCAGACCCTTTACATGATTAAGTCTTGGGAAATGTTGATACTTATTAGATACTGCATATTTTACTATAGAGCATTATATGTGCCTTTCTTTCCCTCAGACATAGGCATGGAGCATTTTGTAAAAAAGGTGGAGGCTGCTCACTGTGTTGCATGTGATCTCTTCATCCCAATGCAGTATGGAATTATCCAGAAACATCTTAAGTCCATTGATCATAATCACAATCGCAGAGTAAGTATATATACTGAACTATTTGATGAAGGCAACACATTGGCAGGGTTGAACAGTCACTTAATGAATGTTCATAAGACAAGCAAGCAAAGTTTATTGATTAGTCCACTGAATGCATCAACATTAAAGACAAAAACAAAAACGTACACAAATAGACAATAATCAGTATCCTAAGACTCCCATAATAGTGTACTAACATACATTCAAACTTGATTAGGTTAAAAGGTAATGAATGTTCATAAGGCAAAGGAAGATGTATCCTAAAGAAACTGAATCAGAATATGTGCAGATATTGATGGTTTTCCACACTAATACCATTCATAAGAAGCAGCAGTACTGATTTATTTAAAGTATGTATCTTGCAGCCCTCAGTATAATTACTCATGAGATGGCAACATACCTTCTAATGACAATTCTTTAATTACCATTATTTCTTAGGGGACAAATGCATCTTAATCTTGTGTTGTATTTCTGGTAGTTACTGAGATAAGTGTTGTGTACATGCCACAGATAGATGTACCTTTGGCGCAGCTGGCTGGGTATCAGCTGCATTAAGATCACTACTGACCGAAAGGTCATGAGTTCGAAGCCAGCCCGGGTTGGAGTGAGCTTCCGACCAATTTTGTGTAGCTTGTTGTCGACTTTTGCAACCGAAAGACAGTTGTATCTGTCAAGTAGGAAATTTAGGTACCACCTATGTGTGGGGAGGCTAATTTCACAAATTTATGAGGCCATAAAAAATCTCCAGCAAAGGGGAATGTGGAAAATACTTCATCAGTGTCACAGATGGACGGTGAAGCGACAGCTCCCCTGGTGGCCAGAAAATTAAATAGCCTCTGACTGTTTGTCTATATGCGTTGTGTGTCTATGGCATTGAATGTTTGCCATGTATGTGTACATTGTAATCCGCCCTGAGCCCCCTGCGGGGTGAGAAGGGTGGAATATAAATACTGTAAACAAACAAACAAACAAATAAATAATACATTGTCATGTATGAATCTCCCTTTAGAAACTTGGTTGCATGTGAATATCACACGATGCTAAGGGATGGATTATAGTGGTCAGAAAGCTAGTTTGTATCATGTTACATTGTATCTTGCTACAAACTAAACATATTACTTTAAGGAATGCATCTTTGTACTCACTTTTCATTAGACACCTACTGACTGAAACAAACAGCCTTTTGCCATTAAATATTTATTTGGTACAGGCTGTTATGTCTTTCTGTATTTTGTCTTCCAGGCTACAATGGAACAGTCCAAGAGATCATCATTAGTAGTTGCAAGAAGTATTCTTAACAATAAACTTATCAGCAAAAAGTTGGAGCGGTATCTGAAGGTAAACATATATTCTGCAGTAAGCATGTGTTTTCCAGAAATGCACAACTCCAGGCCCTCTGAAAGCTACTTATACATTTCACTAACTAGGGTTGTGCTGTATTAAAATTATTTATTTCTGCAAGGGAGAACAAATCATTTAATCAGTTTCCTCTCTACTACTAGATGTTTTCAAAACTTTCTTGTTTTTAATGGGAATCTTGACTGGAGAGAAAGTGGATTTCTTTCTGTGCACACCCTTTTTTCTCTTTATTGCTTCAACTTACTGTTCACTCTTTTTCTTCTTCACTCTGCTGTCCCTCCTTTCTGAGCTCTTTTTCTTTCCATTTCTCAAAGGTATGTTTATCCCTTAGTTACCTTATCTTTACCTTACCTTACAGTATTTACAGCATCACAAAATGCTTTACTTTGCTGATGTCTGTATATCTTTCCTTTGCCACATCTTTGTGTATATTTGCTCTTTTAGTACCTTATTACTACTTTTCACTGTATGCTTTTGGATCTGGATAGCAGAGGACCAATGCAAGCATAGTAACACAGCCATTCTCTCCCTCCCACCCCATCCTTGAAAGGGTTCAGCAGATCTTAAAAGTCTGCAAAAATACTGGAAAAGGTCACACATTGTTGCATATTTATGATTTGTTAAAGATCAATTAAACAAATGGGAAAAAACACAATAAACACATGGTCATGCTTTTGTGTATTTTTGTGGTGAGTTTAAAAAGTTTTTCATCTGACTCTGTATAAGTGCTTAAAATCGGCTTTCCACCATTCCTTCAGTTGGACTTTGGTACAATTATTAGGGGTGGGAATGGAGGTTGACAATACAACTACTTCATTATTTTTAGTTATCTCACGGTAGTTTTAGCTCCAGATTAAACAATGATAGTTGTTTAAGTTGCAGTATATTTTTTAAAAGTCAGTAATCATATGCATTTTCCAGTGAAAAGTTAGACTAAAAATCAAGAAATGTCAATTGAGAACATATGCTATTAATGCATGTTCCTACCAAAACAAAAATGACAGGAATTTTATAGTTCCTAAAAAATATCAGTCTCTTCTGATGGTATCTCAATCATTATTATTGCCATTGGTTACGTTTATGGAAACTGGAATTCAACAAAACACGTAAGAGCTTTGATTCACCATTTCTGGCTTAAACCAAGGCAGAAAATTGTCTGAGTACAGTATTCTCAATATTATATAACAGGGATGGTAAAATGCAGTCACACCACAAGTTGGCAACACCTAGAAAAATGAAATTATATAGAATCACACTCCAGGAAGCACGTCTCTCCCTCAAAATTCAACACTGGGTTCAAAAAGAGTTTTAATAATGTTTCTGTAATGGAAAGAAACTTCTGAACAGGAAGAGTGTCTATGGTTTGTGATGTGTCTGGGCAGGTGGTGGAAAATTGCTCCTTGGACCTTCCAAAGTTGCCCACATTGTTGCACTGTTGTTTTCATGTGCTTGTTCCATTACATCATTTCATTTTTTTTTATCCAGCTCTCTATTAGTATTAGTGCACACTTCTTTCCACAGTTGGCAAAAATAAATATTGGTAAATAAAAATAAATGAACAGTGAGTTCTACATGGCTCTGTTTTTGTTTTCAGGGTGAGAATCCTTTTACAGATGACCCTGAAGAAAAAGAGGAGCATGAGGAAGGTGAGGCAAGAACAAGTGGGGTCATGGAGGAAGGAGCTGCTGAAGGTGAAGAAAACAAGACAGAAGAGGAAGCTAAAGGCGGTGACAGTCTGACTGAGGAAAATCCAGGCAATGCAGAAAATAAAGATGGTGAAGGTGAAGGAGGAGAACCGTCAGGACAAATGGAAGAGTCGAACTTGAAAACATCCCAGGAAGCCCTTGCAAAGGAGCAAGAGCATGATGATGATAATGAGGAAGAAGAAGAAGAGGAAGAAAGAAGAGGAATCATTCCATCAGAAGAGATGGAACCACCTGATGAATGAACTTGTGAAGAAAATAAAAGCATTTTGAGACTGCATTAAAAATTTTAAAACCATAACTGTATTTGTGACACTTCATGGCACGCAGCTTTTGGTTCCCATTAACTACATTTCACCTAGTTACAGCACTTGAAAGCCTTTATCTATAAAGTGTTTTTGGAGATAGCTTTTTTAACCAAATCTTCATTGTATTAGATAGACTTTGTGCAGTACAATTTTTAAGTGGCTTTGTACTAGGATAAATACTTTTTTTTTTTTTAGTAAATAATCAAAACCAAATTCTGTTTATTCGCCTGTACCATATTACAACCTGGGAAGATAAACATCCTCTGGGCCTCTCTTTAATTCTGTATATAGTTGAAAATGGTTTTGTTCCCTAGGTAGCCTTGTCTGGAAATGTCAGTAGCAGAGTTCTGAGTTTTAAATTTCTTGCAATTCAAGTAACTTCCATGGAACTGTAGCATTCATTTGTCCTTTTTCTTTTAATATACAACTCTTAATACTTTGGAGATCAGCACAATAGTTTTGCAGTGCTTTTATTTAAGGTGAATATTTCCAAGGAGTGGAGATAAAGCACTATACTACCTATATGTGTGGATTTCTGAAAGAAGCAGCATGTAATAGATGTTCAGGAAGTCTGAGAGAGGGGGAAATGTATCCTGGCACCTTCTTAAAAAGCAGTTTGGTATTACTTCTTTTGAGTTTTGTCCAGACAATGTTTAAAGGACATCATTGACACTACTTGGCTTAGATTGCTGTTGTGTAAAGGAAGGCTACAGTAGGCCATATGGAACCTATCAATGAAGAGTGTTAAAGAAACATTAAATATTCCCTTCAATGCAGTGCTTCACAGTTGTCTCATTGTAAAACCTTCCACAGTTCATTCTTGAACAGTGCGATACTGCTTCACTGTGCTACGGGGAGGAAACTGGCAATAATGCCATAGATTTCTTTTAATTTCACCAACCTCTGTAAAACTGCTCACAAAGGAATAGTCGTACAACTGTCACTGCTTCATTCATTCTCAATGTATTATCCTGTGCTTTTGTGTGTATGTGTGTGTACATGCATTTTTCTTGCAGTAGAAATCAACCGGAAGAATATCATGGACATGTTTTTATGCTCAACTGCTACATCAGACAAGGCAGTGATAAATGAAGGAACTGTTGTAAGTGGGGCAAAGGATTTGGTACCACCAAGCACTCTGCTGCCTTCAGCTCTAGATCACTGCTTCTTAAACTGTGGGTCCTGACCCCAAATGGAATCATCTTAGCTCCACGTTGGGGATCCCATAAAATTGGCCACAGTAAAAAAATATATTCATTTACACAAACCTATTGTGCAATGTTTGCCATGGATGCCACAAAAATGTTTCAGGTGCACTTCATTAAAAGGAAAATCAACCCTTGCAGATGCTGATTTATTATCAGTAAATGTTTGTTTTTTTATACCTGTTTTGCATATCTATATACCTGGGATCACGTAAAAATTCTTGGATCAAAAGGGGTTGTGAGTGAAAAAGGTTTAAGAAGCCTTGTTCTAGAGCTACTATACGCCAGTGAAAGACATATGGAAGAAGATATTGTGAGTCAAATGTGAAATGTACTGGCATCTACAGGAATAGAAATATTGAAGAGTAAAGCTTTTCCTTCAAAATGTGTAACTACTGGAGTAGCCCTGACCTATCCTGAAATGTGAGATGTTTTTGAAAATAAATTGCAAATACCAAATTACCAGTAACAAGCATCTTGAAAAATGCTTACTGTTTAAGAAAAGAACATTTGGTAGGCTTTTGTGTAGGTTGTGTAGGTTCTGTTGCAATGACTAACAATGACAGAGGTTGCTAGGACCAAAGTCAAGGTAGGCAGCCTCTGTTCTCCAGTCTGATGGCCTGCAACTTCCATCATGAAGCCTAATCCTGCATAATTTTTTTTGAAAGACAACGCAATATTAAGGTACAACTTTATTGAGATTTTTGAGTAATAGATAACTCATTACATTACATTACATTAGTAAACATGCACAGGATGAGGCTATTTGTTTCTCTACAAGAATGAGATGAAACTTTTCTGCATTATATAGTAACATCAGGTACGTACATTTATTTCTCAATGTACTTAACAAATATATGACTTAGTTTAGTGCTGAATTTTTCAACTGATACCCTGGGGACTTCAAAAGTTCTTACTGATTGGGTGATTTGGGGGGGGGGGACGACAATTTTCGCTAAGGAATCATAACATTTCTTCTGGTGCTGCAGCGGGTTAAACTGCTGAGCTGCTGAATTTGCTGACCAAAAGGTCGGTGGTTCGAATCCGGGTAACAGAGTGTGCTCCCGCTATTAGCTCCAGCTTCTGCCCACCTAGCAGTTAGAAAACATGCAAATGTGAGTAGATCAATAGGTACCGCTCCAGTAGGAAGGTAATGGCGCTCCATGGAGTCATGCTGGCCACATGACCTTGGATGTGTCTACGGACAATGTCAGCTCTTTGGCTTAGAAATGGAGATGAGCACCAACCCTCCGAGTTGGAAACGGCTAGACAAAGTCAGTTACAATACCTGCTAATAAAAATAATTTTGTTAATAAAAAACCACTCAAGACTCTCTCTCTCGGGAGCTGAAGAGTGAAGCAGCTTGAAAAGGTAGCTCCGCGCTACTGTTAAAGGTTTCTATTTATTTTACCTTCTATACTTTCATTTTAAGCTATGAATTCCAAAGCCCGTGGGCTGAGGCATGCAGACAAGATAATTTACTGAAAATTGCTACAAAAGGGAGTGATAATTTAGCAAAGCTAGTTGAGACTCAGAACGACTATCGGCGTTCTCCTTGAGTTGCTCCAACGGAAACTGCATTGGAGGAGTGTGGAGGAACGTCGGAGTTGTCAGATAAGTTGAACCTTTTCCTGATTAAGTATGGTTCACACAAGAAAAACTTATAATGAGAAAGCCTTGCCATTACATTCCCTTACAACGGAGAAGAAACAGAGACAAACTAAGATGACGCAATTCTTCCACCTGGGAAAGACTTACCAGGGACTGCAGGAGGTTGCCGAGGAGGAGGTTCCAGGGAACGCGAGGGTGGGCAAGGAGGCTTTGCCTGCTGAAGACCCGATGGACTGGCCGATTAACATTAAAGGGCCTTTGCTGTGGGGGAGTCATGTTGTGGAGCCAGGGAGCGGGAGAAGCTTGGCAGAGGAGATGGCTGAATTTGAGAGCCCCGAGACTGCAGTGGAACAACTCACGAGCTGGAACTCAACATCAGAAAAGCTCCCAGGCTCATGCTTGGAAAAGGGGCATTCTGATCCCTTTTTTACACCCAAGAATTCCCCACAGCAACATCCCCAACATCCCCAACTTGAGTTTCAACAAGGAAAAGAAGGGACGGAGGGATACCTGCACCTGGAATCCAAGTTTAACGCCTTTTCAAATGATTTGTTGGTAATAAAGCAGTACCTACAAGAAAGCACTGGGCTCCTAAGTACATTAGCAAAATTACTTAAAGCTGAAGAGTTGCCCGGCGCCTGTGATTCTAACAAGGCAAAGCCAGCTGCAACCAGGCAGGACTCAGCTCCTTCCAGCCCGAAAGATAAAATAACAAAACAGTCAAAGCTAAATAAAACCAAACACGTTCCAGTCAACTGCAAGCGCAAAAAAAACCACAGGAACAATAAAGGAAAATTGAAACAAAAAACTACCTGCAAACAAACAGGACGCACTAGGAATTACAAACGTGGACTAAAAAAACTATTAACATTAATCCCTCCCCCAAGAACTATAGTAACAAAAAAGAGGGCAAATAAAAAAGGTCCTTCAAAGTGGAGCCACAGTGATAGCAAAGATGGAAAAGTGGATAGATCCAGGAAAATCATTCAAGGCCCCCAAAATACAAACGTAGCAACACAAACTCACTGGGAATCTCAGGCCTCCATCACGACAAAAGAGAAGGATGACAGAAACTCAAAAAAAAAAATAGTGAAAGCAGATGGACCAAAATTGCTATGGACCAACCAACAAAACTGCAGACAAAAGACCAGCGACAGAGAACATACTAGGGATAACTGGAACCTGGTTCTCATTCCAAACAAAATAGTGTTCACCAAAGTTCCTAAACCAGGAAAGCTCTCAAGTACGGATGATCGCAAATCCCACGTGATAAGTCTTGTGAATAATGTTTTACCAGGGGGACTGTATAATACTGATATAGACCAGATTGATTATTTGTATAATGATGCAGAGTATGTTGATG